CTTCCGGTTTTCTGGTGGTTTATTGGAGATAGGAGTCTCAAGGTCTCTCCTGCCCTGGCTGGCTTTGAACCGCGATCCTCAGATCTCAGCCTCCTGAGTAGCTAGGATTACAGGCGTGAGCCACTAGCGCCCGGCTGGCACTCTATTTCTTGAGCTGTAACTCCAGTTCTTTTTGTTTTAGTTATTTATTTTTTAAGTTTTTTATTGTCCCTGAACTTTCTATGCTCCAGGCTAGTGCTCTACCGCTTCAGTCACCGCACCACTTCCAGCTGTTTCTTTTTTTAAAATATTATTTTATTGTAAAGATGCTGTATAGAGGGGTTATTGTTACGTGACTAAGGTAACGAGTAAATTTCTTGTCAAGCATTGTTACCTCCTCCTTTGTCTCCCACTAGCTACCCACCCTCCCACCCCCCCCGCCCCCAGCTTTCTGAGTATATTGGAGATAAAGTCTCATGGACTTTCCTACCTGAGCTGGCTTCGAACCATGATCTGGCTTTCAACCTTAGATCTCAGCCTCCTGAGTAGCTAGGATTACAGGTGTGAGCCACTGGGGGCCCAACTTGCTCTAGTTATTTTTGAGATACAGTCTTGCTTTTGTTCAGGCCAGCCTGTACTGTAATCCTCCTGTTGGTGCTATGATGACAGGTACATGTTACTATGGTCAGCTATTGGTTCAACAGGGGCTTCAAGAAGTTTTTGCTCAGGCTAGCCTAGAACTATGATTCCTTGATCTCAGTGTTCCAAGTAGCTAGTAATGCAGGAGTGAGCGACCAGGTATGGCTTAACAGTAAAGAGTTTTGAGGACAGGAAAGATGGAGGGAATACTGGATGAGCACACAGGATTAAACCTAGAGGAACCTCCCCTTGCTGCTAAGGCAGACTCTGTGTGCCGACTCTTCCTGCTAAGGCACATTTCTCACTTCTAGCATCTGTTTCCAGAGGTGAACCTGGAGTCTTTTGAGACAGAATGTAGTAGGGATAGTGACACTTAGGAATCACATTCCTAATATTTCATATATTCACTTTGTTTTCTGAGCTGGACCCAGTTCCAACTTAATAGCAGCTCCATCACCTGAATACTACTCTATTAATTTCCTAAGGGGATGGTGATTCTTCCTTCCTTCATAGTAGGTTACCAAATCCTTGCAATAGGTAGCCACAGATCAGTAGCTGCTTGTACTTAAGAGAGATTGGATCTATATGAGAATTCTTGGATGTCACTTGGGGCTAAGTAGGCCATTTTTCTGTGAGAGAATGGTCCTAGAAAAGCAGAGAATTTGATGATCTACACAAAAGGATTTAATGCTATTTGGCCTTTGCAAAATCTTACTTCTTAAACAGTGTTAAGGAAGAAAATGTTAAAATAGGAGCAGTAGCTTTGATAGCATTCCTTAGCACCTTCATCTTCTTGATGGGATGGGATCTCAGAATGGAGTGAAGGATTTCTTTTTTTTAATTTTTAAATTTTTTATTGTTATTATAAAGATGGTATACATAGGTATTACAGTTCAGGTAAAGAGTACATTCCAGTTTGGACAATGTCACTTGGGTTAAAGGATTTCTAAGAGGACTACATAATTTTGAGAGAAAATTATCTAGTGACACACCTCTTACTTCCTTAGGGCAAGATGGAAAATGCATGGCATGTGTACTGCCATTTTCCTCTTTTGTGCCCCTAGCAGACATGACTCATAGATTACTTCACTATCTCTTGTTGAACCTATTCCTAGTCTGCATATTGTTCTCAAATGTGTTTGCTATGGATTATTATCCAATTAACTAGAAATTATTTTAGGGGTGAAAGCTGTCTGGCACTTGCTTTAGGGTGATTAGAACCAATCTGCCCTAAATTGGGAGCAGATATGTTGCAATAATTGGGAGTCACTGTTGTTTTCTGTTCACCAAGCCCAGAGATTGGAATTCCCTGGATGCTGGTTGATGGGTACATTAAATCCTATGCAGAGTTGTCCACTGAGACAGAAGAACCTAGACTGAGGTATTCTGGCTAGTCTTTGTGACAGCTGTGTCCACATGAGGAAAGGGTGGCTTCTGCTTATATAAGGATGCAGAATAGACTAGCAATGCCATCAGTATCACAAGGAGGTTCTCCACTGTCGTGTGCCTAGCAAATATCCAGCAGGGCCTGTGTTTGCTAGCCTAGCTCTTACAGGTGTTTACAGAACCAAGGTACCTATGTGACCCTTTATGTCTGCAACTTTCCCTTAATTCAGGAGTTTAAAACTCCTTTATCTAAAACCCTCCAAAGATGAAGTCTTTCTCTTGAATGTCTCTCTCAAGTACACTAGTGGTCCACACTTCAAAGCAATCAACTTTTAAGGAGGATCTAGCACTTTTTGATCTATTACTGCATTTCAAAAGCTAATCTTTCTTTCCAAACACAGCTTAATGCGTCTTATCTCCTCAAAATGGATGTTGTCTTTCACTAAACATTTAAATTTTTAAAAATCCCATTTCCTATATGAATCAATTTCCTGTCTTCTGATCCCAGCAGCATGTGATTGATGGCAGTGGGTTTAATGCACCGTGTCCTCTGAATGTTGATTCTTGAAGGCAAATGGCTATCATACATCAGTCCTCTAGGAAAATATCATCTGTGGAATTGTTTACAAGAGCTTTGCCTTTCAAGAACGGATGATGTCTATATCACTTATTTAGGTCCAGACTGCTTGCTTTTATTGTTTACTTCATAATTTTTCTTTTGTGTGCCATCCATGGAAACAAAAAGGCAGGGCAAATGCCACTGTCCTTAGGCCAGGAAAACTTATTTTGGAGGTATAAATCAGTGCAGTTAAGCATCAATCAAACACTGATCCTGCCTCTAGAGTCTGGGTTTCAAACATCAATGATTATTGCACCTGGTACTTTCGGCTCTTTCATTCATTTTTACTTCATTCTCCAATAGTTCGCAAGCTTAACCCTGGTTCCTTGGAGCAGCAACTGTGAACTGCCTTTTGGAGCTAACAGTGATTACTTATTGTTTGCACTCTGGGCAGTATCTTGGAGCTTGAAGGCCAAGTTGTCTTTTGGATTTTTGTATTGTTTGCATATGTTTTAGAGAAGGTGAAGTGAGCTTGCCAGTAGATGGGAAAGATCTGGTCTCACCCTTATTCAGCAAGGCAGAGTGGATTTAGAATGAAATCATTTCTGATTCTAGATTTATTTAAATACAGTTTATTGAGGGGGAGACACAATACTGGGGCTTGAACTAAGGGCCTAGATATTGTCTTTTAGTTTTTTTGTTCAAAGTGGTGCTCTACCACTTGAGCCACAAATTCATTTATAGCTTTTTGCTGGAAAAAGTGCACTTTCCTGGCTGTCTGGCTTTGAACCTTGCTTCTCAGATCCGCGCCTTTTTAAGTAGCTAGGATTATAGGTATGAGCCACTGGTACCTGGCTTACCCTTCTATTTTTGTAAGAAAAATGATACTCCCATAGATTCTTTTCACACACATACACACTTGGAGTGTGTCATGCTTGTGACACAATGTATACTACACTGTTCTGAAATTATTCACAACTATTAACAATATATTCTAAATGTTGAAAACTGAAAAAGTTGAATGAAGAAGCATCTGATTTGTGTGTGTGTGTGTGTGTGTGTGTGTGTGTGTGTGTGTGTGTGCTTGTCCTGGGGCTTGAATTTGGTGTAGGTGCTGGCCCTGAGCTTCTTTTGCTCAAGGCTAGTGCTCTACCACTTGAGCCACAGCTCCATTTCCAGCTGTTTTAGTAGATTAGTGGAGATAAGAGTCTCACAGACTTTCCTGCTTGGGCTGGCCTCTAACCATGATCCTCAACTATCAGCCTCCTGAGTAGTTAGGATTATAAACATGAGCCACTGGCACCTGCCTGATTTGTATTTTGGTGGTGTGAAGTGTCTTTCCAGATGAAAGAGAATCCCAGTGGGAAGGAGGAGGTTGTGGATGCTGCAGAGCTTCTCTGTGGAGGAATCTTAAAGATTTCTAAGTCTTGATAATATTGTACCTTTTTCAAAGAACCTTCCATGTTTCCTTTGAGTACTGTGTTTGGAGTTTCTTTAGTCAGAATGAAAGGTCTGTGTATTTCATTGAGATTATAAATTTGAGATCAGTAAGCTGTTCCTCTTCTAAAATATGATAATGCCTACTTACGACTGGGTAAACATTTTTAGGACATCTATAATGAAGACCAAGGATTGTGTTTCTCTTTTTAAAAATTGAGTAGAGTTGGTCAGTGGTGGCTCATGCCTGTAATCCTAGGCTGAGATCTGAGGATGGCAGGTCAAAGTCAGCCCAGGTAGGAAAGTCCTTGAGGCTCTTATCTCCAATTAACTACCAACCAACCAACAAACAAACATAAAACCCCACAGCCAGAAGTAGAGCTGTGGTGCAAGTGGTAGAGTACTTTGAGCACAAACCCCAGTAACAGTGCCCAGGCCCTGAATTCAAGCCCTAGACTGGTACCAAAAAAAAATCAAATTCTTGATTATGTCTTCGTGAATGCCTTTTCTGACTTTTACACTTTTTGCAGAGGGAGTAAGATGCATCTGCAACCGGCTTTCACTCACCACTAAGATGGATGCAGAGCACCCGGAACTCAGGGCGTACGCTCAGAGTCAAGGCTGGTGGACGGGAGAGGATGAGTTCAATTTTTCCCAGGTTTTTTCCCCAGCTGATGATCTTCCTGACTGCTGTGCAGGCAAAGATAGCTTAGAAAAACAAGAAGGTGAGTCTCTTCCTTATGACTTTCCTTCTTTTACCCTTTGTCTTGTGACTGTTCTAGGGTACTCGTCTGGGTTTAGAAGGGTGAATAGACAAGTTGTATAGACATTAGACCTTGTATATAAGGATCAACTTGTACCAATAGTCTGTGATAGGCAGGCAGGCAGACAACTTGTATCTATTTTTGTATGATTCTTTCTCCTTCATGAAGGTTTCTTATTTCTACTGGTGTCATTTCTCCATTGGACATGAATGTCATTATGTTGCTTTTATGATACTTACTGAAATCCTTCTTATATCTCAATATATATATACATATATATACATATATATATATACATATATATACAGACTTATTATCTGCCTTATTATTATACTTTCCTCTTTCCCAGCCCCATTAGCCTGCTGAGTCTTGAAGGTGGAGATATCTCTTATTCATTTGAGGAATCTCTTTTATAATGCTAGTAGAGTCCCTTGTGTATTGAACACCTTTGTTGAGTTGACTAGTTGTATTGAATTGTGTTCACAAACTTTCTTTCTGCTAGCCATCTACTGACTTAATCAGAATCCATATTTATGTTAATGTGTTGGCTAGATATCTTATTATTGTTGTGCCTGAGTGGAAATCTTTCCAAAAAGCAATGATGATCAAGATTTTATATTTACTGATTGTGTAGGTATTTTGTAAGCCAACCCTGATCGTTTAAAATCGGTGTTAGCAAATGATGTCCAACAACAGCTACTTGTTTTGTAAGCAAAATTCTGTTAGTTTTTCATCACCATGTCAAAAATATGTGAAAGAAACAATTTATAAGGAGGAAAAGTTCATTTTGGCATGTGGTTTCAGTCAATAGATGATTGGCTCTCTTGCATCGAGGAATGTGGCAACACAGTAGATCATGGTGGAGGGAACTGTTCTCACAGCCACCAAGAGGCAAATAGAGAGATAGCAAGAGGCCAAGGTCACCAAATTCCCTTCAAAAGCCCACCCTCAATAACCTACCTTCCACTAGGGCCAACTTCCTAAAGGTAATACCACCCACTACCAACCATTCAACTCATGGATGTTTGGAGGACATTAAATATTCAAACCATGGAGCACACTCCATGTGCATAAACTATACGCTTTGTATAGTTTAGGACTGCCTTTCTGCTGCCATGGTAGAATTGAGCAGAGGCAACAGGGACCTGGGAATGGAGACCAAAGTCTACATTGTTCTTGGAGTAACACAGATTATAAGCCTAACACATTTTCTTCTACTTGATCCTTTAAGAACAAGTTTCTTAGCCCTTTATCTAGTGTGTCACTCTGATTTTTTTTTTCTGTAGAACTTAAGTAAGAGTGAATAAAGTATTAATATTTAAATGTGGGCCTCAGAAAAACTTCAGTGTTTCAAATTGAAATAGATCTAGTTGATGAAAGTAATTAAATATTTATCATGAAACATCAATGCTAAATATGATAAAACCCCATGTAGCTGTTAGTTCATGGGACAGAGGATGGAAGACTCGTTACAAAAGAATACTTAGTTGGCAGGGGAGATACCATCATCATGAAGGTGATTTTCCCAGGGTGAGGCTTTATCCATTGCACTCCACATGTGCTGACTCCTGTGATTTCCCCAAATGTGGGAAACTCGACTGCAAAATTTGTGGTAGTGGGGGACTGCGTTCGTGCTCTCTCTTTAAAAAAAAAGAAAAAGAAAACGCTGGAAGATGCTACCTCTAAAATCTAGACTGGGAAACTGTACAGGAAAAAAACAATCCATAAGGTGAAAGTAACATTCAAGGAGAAAATATGGACAGATATTAAAACATTTAAGAGATATTGTCAACCTATTGGTAATAGGTTCTGATTCAGATCACTATAGTAATTTAAGAGTAAGTAAGGAAATTTGAACAGTCGATAGTTGAAGAAATCCAAGACACTTGATAGTTCAGATGTGAAATGATGTAAATAGAGATTTGCAAAGATGATGTTCATTGTGTTAACAAATCCCTCCCTGTAGAAACATGTTAAGGAGTGATTTTTGTGGCTGTTTGTGTGTTTCTGATAATACTGGGGCTTGAATTTGTGCTTACCTAGACAGATGCTGCAGTACTTGAGTTACTCTACCAGCTCCCTTTTAAATTGATTATTCTTTTTTTTTTTTGTCGGTCAAGGGGCCTGAACTCTAGGCTTGGGTGCCGTCCCTCAGCTCTTCAGCTCAAGGCTAGCACTCTACCACTTGAGCTATAGTGCCACTTCAGCTTTTTCTGCTTATGTGGTGCTGAAGAATCGAAGCCAGGGCCTCACGCATACAAGGCAAGCGCTGTACCACTGAGCCATCTTCCAAGCTCCTTAAATTGATTATTTTTGATATAGTTTCCCACTTTATGCCCCAGCTGAGTTGGGCTGAGATCCTATTATTTGTGTTTCCCTGTATTGCTGGGAATGGCAGTTTCAAGCCTCTGAGCCCAGAGGTTGGTTGAGATGAAGTCTTGTGGACTTTTTTATTTCTAGGATGGCCTAGAACATTGATCTCCAAGCTCTGCCTTCCAAGTAGCTAAGATTACAGTATTACTGTACCCAGCACGTTTGTTTTTTGAGGTGGATTTTCCTATGTAGCCCAGACTAACCTTGAGCTTGAAGTTCTCCAGACTCAGCCTCCAGTGGGTGGCGATTGCAGTCAGCAACTACACTTGGCTGAGTAGTTTAAAGAATTATAGCCAGAGGAGAACATGAATAGGATCCTGTGTAGTAAAATGATTGTTTATCCATTCATCTGAACTCAGCCAATAGGTCTAAAGGCACAGAATATACTGAAGGACTCTCTTTCTTTCTAAATGTGTGTGTGTGTGTGTGTGTGTGTGTGTGTGTGTGTGTGTATGTGTGTGTATTTTACTACAGAGAAGTTATTCTACTAATATTATATTCAGGGAACAATAGTGTATGAGAGAGAGAAAGGGAGAGAAAGTACATGCTGTAGATTGCACTTGCTTTTTTTAAATGAATGTTCTATTGTTATTGCCTTAGTATAGTTAAATATTGTAACAAAGACCCTCAATATGGCTTTAAAAATGGAAGTTATTCCATTCTCAGGTTATTGTGTGCAGGTATCTGGACAGTTTGGGACTGGGTTTACTCTGCCTCAACACAGGGCCTGCATTTGTGGTCCACGTTTTGGTGTCTTCCAGACAGCTGGAAGGGAGAAAAGTGAAGGAAAAGAATGTGGATGTGACCACAAAGTCACATATACCATTTCTGCTTACCTTAAACTTTATCACATGGCCTTAGTTACAAGGGAGGCTGGGAAATATATCCTGTAGTGAGTAATTATATTCCCAGTAATCATTTCATGGGGAGTTATCAGTGAAAAGAGAAACAAGAGAATGGGTTTTGGTTAGCAGCCTGCCACCATTGCTACATTTTCTCTTCCCATCTCTTCTGTTTCTTTTATTTTCTCAGAAAGCATCACTGCACAGACGATGATTAACATCTTACGAGACAAAGCCAGTGGAATCTGCATAGATTCTGACTCTTTCCTCACCACGGCCAGTATAGTATCTGTCCTGCCACAGAGAAAAAGCTCGCCATGCATTCACTACTTCACTGGGACCCCAGATCCTTCCAGGTTTGTTTAAGACAAGGTTGTGAAGGTAAAAAAAAAAGTGCACTACCCTTGATATCTCATTTTTAGCAAGTGTATGTTAAGTTCGTGGCTGGGAACTCCCTTTGGACAGCAAGGTCACATTTTTCAGTGGGTCACAACATGGCAATGAAGCACAAGCAGCTTTGCCTAGATGAGGTGCTTAACTGTAGTTACATAGTATTTATCATAGTCATGGAATCTAACTGCTTTAAATTCATCACATGGCTGTTAGGTATATGTAATGAATGTATCCACAGTGTAATATAGCTGTGGATACAAAAATGAAAAAAAAAAAACCCACGGTGAGAAAGAGGGATAAAAGAACTCCCAAGATTTACCAGAATACCAATTCCTATGAGTTAATGGATAAAACAATCTAGCAAGTGTACTGCCACTTCCTTAAGGGAGTTGCTTTCTTCCCACATGCTTCAACAAAGAAGCAATATTGTGCAGATTGAGAACCCAAGCTCTAGTCAGATGCCAGTGGCTCATGCCTATAATCCTACTTAGAAGGCTGAGATATGAGGATTGTGGTTCAAAGCTAGCTCGGGCAGGAAAGTTCATGGGACTTATCTCCAATTAATTACCAAAAAACCAGAGGTGGAGGTGTGGCTCAAGTAGTGAGTGCTAACCTTGAGTTAAAAGCTCAGGGACAGTGCCTATGCTCCAAGTTCAAGCAACCGTACCAGGAAAAAAAAATCTCTAGAATGAACAGCCAGGATTCTGAATCTTAACTCTGCTATCCAGTAGCTGAATAAGTTACTAAACTTCTGTAAGCTTCAGCTTCTGTAACTGTGCAGTGGGCATAACACCTGCACCTACATCTATATGCTTGTTGGGAGGATCAAATGATATGAATACATTATTTATGAATAATGATGTCATAATGAATACCAATTATTTATGAAGACCAGCTCTGATCTGCCAGCCAGATAGCATCCCCTCTCCCTGGCAACATCTACAGGTCACATCATCAGTAACTTAGAAATGATCATCCAGTGGTTTCTAAATATGTTGGAGGGGGAAATTTTTGAAAAATACAGATACCTTGACCCAAACGTAATGTATCAGAATCTTCAAAGTGGACCTCATAATCTTTCAGGTAAGTCTATCTGATCCTCAGCATGAATAGCCCCGGAAGAAACTCTGTTCCAGTAGGTTCTTTGGTGATTTTTAGGTATTTCTAATATCTGAAAACTTGACATTGTTGGAATATCAGCTGTTAACCCTTTGAATCTACTATCAAAGCATCTGTTGTTATTAAATTTCATTCCTTTAGTGATCAAACATCTTCTCTTACAGTTTCAAGAATATAAGCCTGATTGTGTCTAGTTAGGGGACTCTCTCTCTCTCTCTCCTCCTCTTTCCCTCCCTTCCTTTCCATCCCTCTTTCCTTCTTTCTTCCTTTCTCTTTCATGACTGGTGCTCTACCATGTGAACCACATAACTCTTCTTCCAACTTTTTGTTGGTTAATTGGAGATAATTAATTTGTCTGCCTGAGAGGGCTTCAATTCATGATCCTCAGATCTCAGCCTCTTGAGTGGCTGTGACTTTTTATAGCCTGTGACTTTTTCTGTTTTTTTTTTTTTTTTGTTGGTTGTGGGGTCTGGGCGCTGTCCCTCAGCTCTTCAGCTCAAGGCTAGCACTCTACCACTTGAGCCGCAGTACCACTTCTGGATTTTTCTGCTTATGCAGTGCTAAGGACTTGAACCCAGGGCTTCATGCATGCAAGGCAAGCACTCTACCACTGAGCCACCTTCCCAGCCCAACTTTTTCTGTGTTTAGGGACTTTTTTTTTTAAATTCTGGGCCTGGGATTGAACTCAGAGTCTGAGTGCTGTACATTTTTTGTGCTCAAGGCTAGCACTCTATCCCTGGAGCTACTTCTGGCCTTTTGTATGTAAGTAGAGAAAAGAATCATTTGGAATTTCTGGCTGTGGCTGGCTTTGAATCATGATCTTTAGATCTTAGCCACCTTGAGTTGTTAGGATTATTATGAGCCATGGGCACCCAGCTGTTTTTTAAATTTTTTAAAAAGTATATTTTATTATTCTTTAGTAATTGTACAAATAAGTTACCATTCAACAAATCAGTTTATAAGTATAATGCATCTTAGTCAAGAACAAATCCATACACTTCACCCTCATTTTTTAAATACTGCTGAAATTGATATATCCTTCTAATAAGATCTGAATATTGAACACATGGTTAAAACTATTCTTACATTTTTTATTTCATGTAAACACTAAGTAACTGCTGCATACCAGTATCATGCTAGTTGAGTATTAGAGGTGAGATGTGTACAAGAGGTTGTAGATAAGGTCATAGAAAGAAAAACTTTACACAGGAAGGGTCTCCAAGCCCTAGGCATTATGGGAAGAGTGGGAACTTGCTAGGTACAAAAATCCAGAATTAATATTCTGGACAGAAAAATGACATGTGTCAGTAATGCTCAGAGGCATGAAGTAGCATGGCACAAGGTTATTACAGGGGTGCATCCTCTAATTGGTAAGGCCGGTAATGAGATTCTGGTCTCACTTCCTTCCATCATCTTTCTACTCTCATGCAGTCCCTCTGCTAACCCTTCACAGTGAACCTGAGTCAAGCAGCCATTTTCCTGGCAACCTCTCTCGATGCTCTTACGTGTTGATTTCACCTGCTTTTTCTTGGTATCGACCCTCCAGTTCCAAACCCTGGGTTCCATGGCTGTAACTTCCACTCATGTTTTGCTCTACCAGATTTGAGGCTCCTCTTCCCCTTGGTATCCTGGCCTCTCCCTTGATGAGCCTAGCTTGTTTCCCTAGTCTGATGTCTTGGTAGGATTGTATGAGGATTCTGCTGACCTACAGGGGTACAGAGGGGCTTTGAGAGTTCTGTTTTGAGGCATCTGTAATAGTCTGCTAAGGGATTTGGACATGGCTCTTTATGAAACCTTTCAAGGAGTAGAGTGAGCCAAATCTCCTTTGACTCTGTGGTCGCCAGTACCTGCTCTGGTTAGGATAAAGGCTTCATAATACCAGATCACTCATCTAAAAGAATTTTGTATCCCAGGCTGAAGTACAGGGCTTAATTCAATTTTATAAATGTGTTAAGAAGTAGTCTTCTGATAGTTAAACTTGAAAATTTCAAGTAATTTTAAAAGAAAATTATTCATGGTTAAAATAATTGAAAAGACCTTGTAGGAGATTAAGTCCCTTCTGGAAGACATTTATCTTTATCTTCCATGATTAAATGGGCTTCTCTCCCACTGTGACTATAAAGCTGTCACAGGTTATTTTTCTTCTTATTCAACATTTCAATGTTTCTCTGTAATTGGGCATGTTCAACATTTTTTATTTCGTCAGTAGGAAGCATAATTACTGGCTCTTAAGAGATTTTTTTAGGTAGTGAAATTAAGATCTTAGCTTGTTTCTGCTAGTGCTAAAAAATTAGGTGGTTTTCCTATTAGGAGAATAGTTTCAGAGCACTTCCAACCATTTTCAGCTTTGGTTATGAGCAAAAAGTAGGACTGATTTGCCCCTTCCAGTTGATATGATGACCAAAGGACTTCACCATACTTATATCCTATCTCCTTCACCACATCACTGTCCTGTGTATGCAGACACATTACTTACAGATCTTCTTGAAATGGCTTACTCCCACATCCACACCTTCCTTTTTCTCTGTTGTTTCTCCCTCTCTCCTACTATGTACCAGGTACCATGTAAGCTTGAGAGTTGGGAGAAGCTGCAAACTACAGAGTTTGAATGACTGAGGGAAAAGCAAAAGTCTTTTAAACTGATCAAAGAGGCATATTCCATCATACTAGTATCATGCTGAGTCTCATTGGTACCTCAGTCCTTGGTATAGTGACACTAGTCACCTTCAGTAAACTGGTTCTGATCTTGGGAAAACATTTTCTGGGAATCAGTACTTGTTAAAGTTTTGCTTATGTGAAGAATGGGTGAATGAGAGAATATCTGAGCAGTACCTTAGTGTTTTGAGACAGTATAAAATGTAGATTTTTAGGGATTGGTGGAACCAAAGAGAATTTTGTGTCTTCCTCTGTCCAGCTCCATGGACTGTGATGTTATTGTTGTTTTCAAATGGGCCACATAGGGTCTTTACACCACAACAACTGATGAGCATCATAAAGCTGGGTGAATTTTGTTTTGTTTTTTTTTCAGAGTGATAATTATTAGACCAGCACTGCCCTGAGAGGCCCTCACATATATGAAACTACGAATATTCAAGGTACAGGGTAGATCAACCAAAAGGGGGAATATTAAGTATACAAAGTTTTAGGAAAATGGGGTGATGATTAGTGGCAACGTGTTCAAGAGAGACAAGGAACTTTATTTCTCTCTTTGTTCCTTCTCTCCCTCTCTCCCTGTCCTCCTTACCTTTCCCTCCCTCTCGAATTTTGGCTTCCTTTTCTTCTTCCAGTGTACTAGACTTGGGAGATTAAATTGGATTGCCCAAGACTATACAATCTGGATAATTCCAATGATCTCCACAGATGACACCTGCTTTTCCCTGGAAGAAGCATGGGGGGTGGGCACTGTTCAACATAACTTTTACAGCCTTTGGGGCTATCTAGGGTGCAGTCTGCACATTTGTAAGTACAATGCGGGGCCTGGGAATTAGGATACCTTCTCCTTGAGTTTCATTCCACGTTTTTCTAGTACAGTCTCTCTCCATTCTCCACTTTAGGATTTCAAAAGCCTCCCGAACACCTAGATTTAGCCCTAACCCCTCAGGTTGTTCTATGCTCCAAAAGTACTGGTTTTCTTTCTTCCTAAGGTTCCAACTGTTTTCACAAAAGAGTTTTGTTCTCAACCCCATGTGACTTTTGACAGGGCAGTTAAGATGACATTGCCCTCGTAAATCTGGAATGATCCACAGATGAACCACTTAGAAGGTCATCTCAGGTCGGAGTGGATGTGGAGACCCCATGTCCCACAGATCCCCTCTCCAGCTCTAGCTCAGCTCTGTCTTGGAGAGAGCCATGCTGTCACTGGTCCTATCCAGCGCAGAGCTCTAGAGCTGAGAATGTATAGATTGAGCAGGCCCAAGTCCGCAGGGCTTGCCCTTCCTGATCCCTGTCCCACCGAAGATTCTCTATACCAGCCAAGGAGCCTACAAAGCCATTGTCTGATGACAGTGGCAGGTTGTATCCTACCCTTTCAGGAATCCCTCAGTGCTGTCTAGCCCCTCAGACTAGGGTGTTTGCTATTGGAAATATGGCTATATTATCAGAGAGCAGAAGGACTCAGAGACAGGTGGTCTGGATGCAATCTCTGTGCTGGACACAGGATGCACCTTTCTTTCTTTCTCTATTTCCTTTTCTCGCGCGTCTAGTTTCTCTTCCTTTCCCTTCCCAGGTAATCTAAATCAGCTTAGACATTTTGAAGTAGGAGGGAAAAAGAAGGATTTGTTTCTCAGAGGCTGTGGGAAGTGAGAAGTATGTGTTCTTCCTTAGGTCTTGGGGAAACCTTCCTTTGATGATGGCTGGCAGAGTAAAGGGGGCATGGGATGGCCCAACCTGGCACACCTTGTACTCCCATATGTAAGAGATCTCTATCTATCTATGCCTATGCATATATGTAATCTGTAGAAAATAGTAGAGTCTTTATGCATCTATATTCTACCAGTGTAGGGATCTCACTACCTTTGACATTCAGGTCATATTACTGTGGACCTCAGCTTAGCATGCTATGGCCAATGTCTTTTTTCTTTCAAGACCTCTTTCCCATAGCGGAGTCAGATAATTAATCTACGTGTTGCTTCTTATTAGCACCGTCCATGACAGTGCTCCTCGGATGTGGATGGTACGATTGCCTGGGGTCTTGTTAAGAAATGCAGACTCTGATTCATCAGGATGGAGCAGGGCCCGATGTCCCCAGGGCTGCTGATGTTGCAAGTCCAATGACACAGCTGGGTTGCTAGGGCGACTGCTTTCTAATCCTTTTAAGATCTTGGAAATCGTTCTGTGACGCGTTGGCAACGAAGCCATGGCTGCCTCAAGCTCCGCCTACCTCAGGGATGAGAAGGAAACATCCCAGCTCACCTTTAACCGTCCTGAGTCTCCTCGGAATGTGCCATGCTGTACCCATTAAGCAAAGAAAGAAATGTCCAAATAGAACAAAGGGATGATCACACCAAGCGTGCGAGGGTCTTCCGCTCTTGTCATTATTGCGGGCGCTGCCTGAGGTGTGGCTGATAGCAGGTGGGCCTGCCTGGAGTGCCTTTCCTGCACCACCACTACCTCCTCTGGATACAGAGGGGGAGGATCAGCTTCTCTCCCCAGTGGGCACACCCCACTCACTCTATATGCATGACTTGTGTGGGGGAAGCGGTTGGTCCTGGGGGCTTGTACTCAGGGCCTCGGCACTGTCTCTGAGCTTCTTTTGCTCAAGGCTAGTGCTCTACCTCTTGTGCCACAGCTCCACTTCCAGATTTTTTTTTCTTTTGGTAACTTATTGGACATTAGAGTCTCATGGACTTTCCTGCGCAAGCTGCAATCCTCAGATCTCAGCCTTCTGAGTAGCTAGGATTAGAGGTATGAGCCACTGGCACCTGGCTGCATGACTCTTTTGGAGTGTGTGTGTGTGTGTGTGTGTGCTTACCCAAGTACATGCATGCATATAAGCCTGCATACACCATTTCCCCTAAGGCATACCCATCCTGCCAGCAGAACTGAGTCAATGAGTTTGGTACTTCCATCCCCTGCTGTGAGCAGCACTAGCTTACTTATAGAACCAGACTCTGTTTCTCACACTTGTCCATTTTGGGGCTTCTGGGATCCTTTGCTGCCATGCGTCTTAATCTGCTCTCCTTGAGTCCATGCAAGAGATTACAATTTTTTCAATAATGTAGTACTTCAGAAGCAAACCCACAAAATCCTCCCTTTCCAGAAATGGTATGTGAAAACCTTTTAAAACCCAGATAGCTATAGTTGATGGCAATGCTTTAAAGATTCTTGTCCCAGAATACTGCACATTTAATTGCCTTACTTTATACAACTAAAAGGATCCTCTCCTGTGGTATTCCCAGAACAGAGAAAATCTATTTTGCTGTCTCCTTGTAAGTAGAACATGTTTCAGCTTGTACATGGATGGTAGCTACCAAAACAAGTAGTTGTATCTCTCTTGGCTAGTCTCTTAGCTACTCACTGCTAACTCTAAGTTGGCTCAGGAAGTGTGTGTGCCGAATAAAAGGACAATTGCTTGCGTGTTCTTAGTCTCAAGCTCTATGTGGCTGAAGCAGCTGTCCTTTCTCTCCAGGTCCATTTTCAAGCCTTTCATCTTTGTTGATGATGTGAAACTTGTTCCCAAAGCACAGTCTCCCTGTTTTGGGGACGATGATCCTGCCAAAAAGGAGCCTCGGTTCCAGGAGAAACCAGATCGCCGGCATGAGCTGTATAAGGCCCATGAATGGGCACGTGCTGTCATCGAAAGTGACCAGGTGAGTCTGGGTGGGGGCCAGGGAAGGGACTAAGTCAACAAGAAAGGAACATGGAAGCAGCTATCAAATTCCTTCCTCTCTGACCCCACCAGTCTCCCAGAAAGTCAGATTTCAAGACCTTTTCTAGAATGCTGCTGTTCCTACTCAGTATCTTGAAACCAAATAAAACAAAGACTCCAAAAGACTAAAAATGTCAGTCAGTGGGTCTTATCTTGGTATCTTGGGAGTATGAGAATGTACAGGCAGAAAGGGATATATATATATATATATATATATATATATATATATATATATATATGTATATATATGTATGTATATATATACACACATACATATACATCTATATTTGGCTGGTCCTGGGACTTGAATTCAAAGCCTAGGTGCTGTCCCAGAGCTTCTTTCGCTCAAGGCTGTGCTCTAGTATTTCAGCTACAGCTCTAATTCTGGTGTTTTGGTGGTTAATTGGAGATAAGGATATCACAAACTTACTTGTCTGGGCTGGCTGTCCGTGCCTGGCAGAGGTTGGAAGTTTGGAGCTTTAGAAATGACTGGGGGGTGGGCGTGGGAGGGAATGTAGTTGAGGAGGTGGGAGGGAAGAGAGGGTAGGGGAAAAACAAAGGAGGAGGCAACAATGCTTGATAAGAAATGTACTCATTACCTGGCTCATGTAATTGTAACCCCTATGTACAGTATTTTCACAATAAAAAAACTTATTAAAAAAGAAATGACTCTTCCTTTGAGTGAAGGAGCAGTAGGAAGTGGTTGACAGATGGGAGAGCATCTTCTCAGTTCTGGGCCAAATTGGGCAAATGAAAGCTTTCGCGGTGGTGAACCATACATGAGTGAGTCCCACTTGGAAGACGAAGTCTTTCCATCTCAGAAAGAGTGACTTAAAATAGACATGGCATAGTTCATTCAGCGAGCTATTTATTCCTCCAATAAATGCCTTTTGAGAATGTTCACAGTGTCCTAGTCATCGGAAGGCAGCAGTGAGCTCAGTTCTTGCTTTCTAGATTTTATGATCTAGTGAGGAACGCAGCCATATAGGACAGCGGTCACCTGATGGAGCCTGGTGACCCTATTGGGGTAAAGGCATTGAACCATGGAGGTTCCAGAGGAAAGGTCTGCCAGCAAGGAATGAAGGTAGACACAAGATGACCCAACATTGAGACAGGGAAGGGCCTTCCAAAGGGCAGAGTCACCTGTATCGCAACAGGCTGGAGGAATACAGTTCACTCATGGCTGGAAAGGAGGGATATGCCTGACAGGAGGTCAGCTAAGAAAGACCTTGGTGTTATCAAAGCCTTCACTGAGTGCACTCAGTTCATTCAGGAGTCTGAATTTTTTTCCTTGAACAACGGGGAACTGTGTAAGTGTTCTGAGCAGGCCAGTTCTAGAACCGTGTTGGTGGCAGCTGTGTGGGCAGTGGACAGGTCTGTGTACAGGAAATCAGCTGGATTCCCAGCGCTGTCAGTATCTTCTACTGCAACCTCTATGGCTTTGCTCACGTGTGAAGCTGCTGTGTCTTTCTTTAGGAGCAGGGCCGCACACTGAGGAAGACCATGCTGGAGTTGGAAAAGCAAGGTCTGGAAGCCATGGAAGAAATCCTGAGCAGCCCCGACCCTCCAGACTCTGCTGAGATGGCGGACCTTTTCTATGACTGTGTTGACACGGAGATTAAGTTCTTTAAGTGAAGTAAGCAGCTCTTCTCTCTTCTTATTTAACATGCCCCATTTGACTAAATGACCAGCAAAACAAATCACTCTTCTGTGTGAGCAAAATGAGAAAAAGATGTGGCCTCTTGTTCTGAAGCCAGATCAAGCTGATCCCGTGTGTCTCCAAACATCCTCTTTGCTGCATATTTGTCCCCTTCCTTTGCTAAGTAACATGTATCTCCATCGCCTGTCATTCTGTGGCATGATGAATTATGGGTTTGAAGTTGCTCTTCTTGTATTTCAGTCACAGTGGGCACATTAGCCTCTTTCAAGGATGCTAGAGTTCATCGAACCTGGAAAGACGTGCTTTGCAAGGCCGAGTCTGTAAGGAAAGTAAGACCTTTTGAAAGTTTAGTCTTTTTCTTGGTACTTGTTTCTTCTAGTACAAAAGGTGTTTGTTTGCATAAGGGGCTCTGTGTGTGTGTCAGGGAGAGCTCCCAGTTTCCCTTTGCTGGAGCACGGGCCTATATATAGAGGATGGTGTCTACAGGTGTGTCCTGGGGAACAAAGCGGGTCCTTCTGCAGTTCTGGCTCCAGTCCAGTGCTGAAACCCCGAAGGACTTGTCTTCACCAGCTGTGTCCATGTGCACTGGACCCCAACCTGGCTCCACATGCACAAGAGCTGGGTATTGGTATTAGCTGGAAACGACTCATCTTCACAGTCTCCCAAATCACCATGTTTTACCCCCAAAGGGCAACTGATTTCCCTACACAGCACAGAGCTGCTGCCTGGATGCAGCCTTGTTTAGAAGTGATTCCAGATCGATTTGTGGCCTAGTTCCACCCTCCACAGCTGTCACTTGCAGCTAATAAGGGAAACAAACAAACAACCCCCCCCCTTACGTACTTAGGTCTCTATTCGAGTAGCTAGAATCTTAGTGGTCTCTACTTTTCCAACTTTATCATTCACCATCACTACTCTGACTCACAAAGAGAGCATAGGAAAGCAAACAAGGAAGACCAAGTGTGCTTAGCCCTGGGAAGACAGAGGGCAAGCAGGCGACAGATGGTTGAAGGAGCGTTTCTCAGCAGGATGATAGCTCAGCCTCAGGCCTTCTGCTCTTGTTTTGCATTCCACAGATTGGTGTGTAAAGCAGCTGATTTCCTTGGCCATCCCCATATTATCCTCATATCCCACCTTGTCCAGCTTGCGCCTGCAGACAGCCACAAGCAGGTGCCTGAAGTGGCTGGAAGGAGAGTTGGGTGTTTACCTCCATCTGTTGAAACGCTAGGTCACTTTTAAGCTGGCAAGAGACAGGCAAAGAATGACCAATAGAAATTTATGAGCACCTAGCAGAAGCCTGCCATTGAGCCTAATTATGCTCATCCATGGCAGGACACTGCACATGGAAACACTTTAGTAGTCTCCAAAACGACCCAGGGTGAGTGACTGTCTAACCTAAAAGATAGCAGCAGTGCAGGTAGCAACAACCCAGCCTCAGATAGGAACATTGAAGATCAAGGGTTTTACCTGAATATCTTCTTTTTAATTTTTTTCCTACCAACCCTATTTGAAGAGTGATTGTAGGGGGGGTATAGGTATGAGCTTTTTGCTCAGTAGTTTTGTAACCATAAACAGTGAGAAATGGGGACAATACTTCAGCTGGAAGTTCATTGCTATTCAAAGTGATGGCTAATTATTGCTGAGTGCTTTTGACAGATTTCCCTGGGCTTCCTCTTCTGTTGAATTGAAGGTTTCAGGCGCAGCGGCCATGCTGACTATCTACAGTAGTAGCTAAGGTTGGATGACTGAGGTTTAAGGAGGATGTAGGAGACCCTGTTTCCTCATAAGCTCGTCTGCTGAGCTATTTTAAACAACTCGATACAGAACACCATTGTGAGATCCCACTGTGTGGTCCAACCTCCACCTGTTTGGGAAACATTTCATATATAACACATCCAGAGAGCTAAGGAGAGTCAGCGTTTGCTGAGAAGTCTAGTGAGAATAAATTACAGAAGTCTTCTTTCGTCACTGTGGGAAAGGTGACAGATATAGTTCCAACTGCCTAGTTGTATGGTAGGAAACACAATTACTACTTCTGATGCTGGACATTGACCTTAGTCAAACCTGGCAGAGAAAGGTCAATCTTGAGAGTTGTCTTGGCTGACACTGTACATCATAACTGTGCTGTCTCAGCATGAACACTAGAGGGCAGAGTGGCCCTCCATGACAGCCTAGCATGATTTCTGAGCCCCATTTCTCCCATTAGGAAATATAAGTGGCCTGCATACCTCAGATAACGGCAGTGGACAAGTTCTTTGTGCATTGGAATAAATAGAGAAAGGCAAGAAGAGGGCTAGGAATCTGCTAATGTGGTTGTGTGAGTTTACAATGACTTTATCCACTTAAGAGCTGGAACTATGCTAGATTTCAAATAGACAGTTGTAGGAAGTATTTTGAAATGCTCCCTACAGATTATGTTTTGAAGAAATCTTATCACTTGGATGATTTCTTGACCAAGAATTACTTTTCTGAAGGCAATGTGAGGAAAATAAAGTTCAGGGTTAAATACAAAAATAATGTTCAAAAGTCATTATGTGTAAATAGCTTTCTAGAATACCAATTGTGTGTTTATTAAGATGGGGGTAGGGGTGCCTGTGCATGCTTTGTGCAGAAAGAAGCCATGGACATAAGAGACAGAACTCCCCCCCCTCCCCTTAAAACCTAACCTTAGTCCGTCTAGTAGATGGGATTTACTATAGAGGAAAACAGACTTTATGTTCAAGGGCAGATGCTCTACTTACAATAAATTAGCAAAACAGAAATAGTCATGTTTAGATAGAATAAGAATATGATAAAAATTATGGAGATTCCTTAGTGCCCAACCATGTAAGACCCAGTGCTATTATTAGGAGTCTACTTTACAAACTAACAGGGCAGGCATGTGACTATTAGATCTTAGCAGTAAAGACCCTTTACTGCTGGGTGAGTCAGTAAGTATAAAAAGTAATTTTCAACCAAGCAAATTACTTTTGGTCCTAATCGATGCCATCCCACACCGGTATAGGTGACACATAACTTGGCTAGCAAGGTAGGGCCAATTTGTCTATCATCAAACTACTCACTGAATTCTTGACTGGAGAGCCAGCCATGTTTTGTTGGAAAAATCTTCACCTGTGCTCTCAGCTTTAGGAGAAGGCTCAGGGAGGGGAAAGGGAGTAGACCCATTCTGCTGGACATGCTCCAATGGAAGAGAAGGAGCAGTAGGTCAGCTGTCCCAACATTACGTTATGCTTCCTGTAGGTGTGGGATTTCATTCCACACAGTCCTAAGTTCCTGATCCCCTTCTGTGATGTGTGGCAAATGTGCTTTCTCTAATTGACACCGACCACCCTGAAATGTCATATGCAGAATTTTCATGGGAACATATATGCATATATATATATCTATATATGTATATGCAATCATGTTGTGAGAATTTAAATGTGTTAGCTGGAAAATGTTATTGGCAGGGAATAATGTAAAAGAAAATTATTCTGTTTCCAGTATGTAGTCTTTAACAATCTTTTGTACAAGTATCTACAAACCAGATAGCTTCCCTGTCTTAACGCTTGCCCTTGGGATTGTATTTAAATGCATCAAACATACAATAAAGATACTGAAATGAATGCCTATTGTCCTTTTCTACTGTGTGTTTCATGAGTGCAATCAGGCATCAACCACAACAAAGGAGATGCACACAGGAATGTGTCTTGTTCACTGAAACAGAAATCTCAAACAGTTCAACAGTTTTCTGCATTATGACCAATTTTTGGATAAACTCACTCTTTAAAACTAAACTCAAAAACTACGATAATCAACTCAGACCCATTGGGATATTCATTCTAAAACAACAATACAAAATGAAAAAAAAACCCAAAACAAAAAAACCTCAAATCATAAGCTAGCCATTAAGTGCTAGCTTAACTGGAGACCAGGAAAACCTGGAACCCTTGTGCATTGTTGGTGAGAAGTAAAGTAGTATATCCGCTGTTTACTAATCCTATGGAGGGTGTGAAAAAAATTACACATGGAACTACATACGATTCAACAATTACATGTCTAGGAATATACACAAATTAGTTGAAAACGAGCTAGATACGGATGCACTCAGACCTCCTGGAATGTCCCATTTTCTCATTATTAAGATTTAGACATGAAGTATCTCCTAAAAGGATGATGTGTGGCTCTTGTGCATCTAGACATTGAGAGGTGCTTGGGTCATGAGGGTTCGGATCTGACCAAGAGGCTCATCCACTGTTTGATTCATTATTGAGTGGACTATTGGGAGGCAGAGGAGAGTGTTGGAGGGCAGAGGCTGATTAGAGGAAGTGATGCTGGGGGTCATGTCTTTCATGGGCTAGATCTGGTCCCTAGTTCGTTTCTTTTGGCTTCTGGATGCTTCAGTCAAGCAGCTCTGTTCCACCACACCCTCTCTTCATGTTGTTGTGTCTCATCTCAGGCCACAAACAATGGAGCCGGCCAAGCATAGATAGAAACCTCTGAACTATGAACCAAAAGAAAGTCTTTTTTTAAGTCGTCTTCACAGGTCTTTTGTTACAATGACAAAAAAGATTAACCTATTCCTGGAGTCTACAGCTCTTTCCATGAAGCTATTTCCCCTCATCCCTGGGTGTGTGTGTGGGGGAAGGGGGTGTCTCTCCTCAGCTCAACTCCCTAAAAGGTGCCTCTTTCTGCCAATGGCAGCAACTTTGATTTTTATATCTTATTTTAGCAGACTGTCTTGAATCCTTGCTTTTCTTTCCTATTCACACTGGCCTTTTTGGTCATTCAAGAGCCGATCTGTGCCTCCACAAATGTGGGAAAGCCAGTCATTCCCTTAAGTCATTCATATGCAAAGAAGTTACCTTTAAAATGAGTTTCTAGATGAGGTTTGTTTTTGGAACATCGATAAACCTTCATTGCTGCGCTGACTTTGCTATTAGTAGCAGAGCAAGTGAATGTGGCCAGCACAGCTCAGCAAACATCTAAATGGAACACGTTTGTGACTTAGCATGAAACATACAAACTGGTTGTTCCTCAGTGTGTAGTATGCCTGTGTATCTGCACTGTGATAAGCCAGGTGCACATTCTTTTTTTTTTTTAATTGTGAAAATACCGTACAGAGGGGTTACAATTACATGGGAAGGTGCACATTCTTGTCACCATTTGATAGGCGAGGAAACTGCGGCACAGACTAATTTTTATTTCCAAACTTATAAGAGACAAAGCAGCGATTCAGATCTTTCCAAGTTCTAAGTCAGCTTAAACAGTGGATGAACTTCATCTCCTCTGTATTAGGCTACAGTGTCCACTTAAAACATTATGATGAGGCCCTGAGAACTGACATACAAACTAAATAACTAACCAACTCCCCCCCCCAGGTGTGTGTGTGTGTGTGTGTGCTGTTTCTACTTCACAAAGGAGGCTTTTTTGAGGAGTTTGCTGCATTATGGAGTGGAAATGTGCAGATGTAGGTTGAAAGTTGTTCAGCTTAAACACAACTAAGCAGAATTTATAAGCAATATACTGTCCATACTATAGCTATAAAGCTAATAAATAGCTATCTACTTTCAAAGATGTAGTTGAAAAAGTTTTCTGTTCCTTTGCTTGGCTTTTCCCAAGACTCTTAAGTTAGTCAGCTCAAAAGAGTAAGGCCCTATTTCTAAAACAGTATATTATAGCAAGCATTTTCTTTTGCTTTGGCATTCCTAGAAGTCCTCCTAATCTTTATTACTCAACTTTGATCATTATACAGTATATACATATACCACAACATCATACCATATCCTGTACCCATGTGCACTTGTTACATATCAATTTAAAAATCTAACTTAAATTAGTACTGGTAACTACAAATGGGGTTTTATAAGGAAATGACCAGAAACACTTCCATTTATTCAACTTTATTAGGTACAAAGAAATGAATCTGCAGAGGGAGTCATCAATAAATATAAAATACAGTGAAACATGGGGAATCACAGACTACAAGGTAGAAGAAGGGAGGGATGTGGGGAACGCCCTGGCCCGAGTTCATGGTCAAGGCTCAGTCTGTACACTCTGGAAGGAGCTCAGGGTGCCAGCAGGAGCTCAGAGGGCTGTGGGTTCAGTGATAGGTCTGGAGGAGAGATGTGATGTTGGATTCCTGAGATTTCTCCCTACTTGCCGTTTTTTTGGTTTCTGCTCATTTCTTTCCTCTGTCCTTAGATAGTTTTGCTTTAATTTCTATCCAGAGGTACAGAACATGAACAAGGGAGGCAGTCTACTCCAAAACTGGAATTGCCATTGTGTAGGGCTGTCTTCATCGGGATGATTAAAGCATGTGGACTTACTCTACACAACTGAGAGGAAAGTGGAGTGGGTACTGTTAGAATAAACTCTGATCTTTTGGAGAACTTCCAGAAACAATACAAATCAAGAACACAAAAGGCCCGAAGAGGCCTTTTCCATTGATTTGGCTGTTACAGTTTGGCCTGAGTCACCCCCCACAGAGATGGCAACTTGATCATGGCTGTTTCTCCTACCTGGGTCAAGGAAACACGACATCAATGTAGGACACTGCCTTAGTCCTTTTTCTGGACAACAACCAACCAGGTGTTTGGAGTCCCATGGGCTACATGTTTCTTCACCTTTCCTGGCTGGCTTAGCTCAGGCCTGCTAGGCTTCAGGTGTGAGTGTGAGTGGGTTGTTCTGAGCTAGTGATTGTTCACTGCTCTCCTCCCTGATTTCTTTTCATCTGTAGCTATTTTGAGCACAGCCCAGAGATCAGTCTGTTCCCGTCTATTTTCTCTCCTTTCTGTGGCATAGCCTCCCCACCTTAATGGATGGGAACTTTTAGAGTGAACAGGAAGGAACCTGCACACTTCCTTTGAGGCTCAAAGAAAGGGTCTGAGGAACAGTGCCTGCCTCCGCCAACCCTTTCCACATGCAGAGCAGCTGAATTCCCTGGGCACACCAACACATCCTGGGGCCCAGCACAAGGCCCCGGGGGAGCTTTCAGGACAGTTTTGTTCTTCAGCTTAGAAAGGAGCTCCATGTGTCCTGAGGTGCTTCAGGTTTCACAAGGGTCAGCTCTTTGAGATACTATTTGATGAGATGTTTCCTTCCATGCGTTTCCACGTCACATTGTCCATGGAAATCTTGCATTTGGGATGAAAAGATGGGGAGAGAGACTTCTGGAATACAATGAATAATTTACCATAATCACAGGTTATCTATAGTTGTTTACCTGAAGGGGCAAACAAATACTGAAATCTCATAAAGCCAAGCTTCCCAGGGTGGGATTGGGAATTTGGAGGGACGGGAGGAGAGTGATGGAAATTAGGACACTAGGTGGCGCTGTAAACAGTTAAGAGCATTGGCTACTTGTAGGACAATTCAGTTACAAAAAGGGGCCCTGGGAAGGCTTGAAGGGACCAAGCCCACTCCTGCCTTTTACATTGCAATAATATTTACATTAGGCAGCAAAAAGTCATCCCTGTACTGTGAAGTGGAAGTGAGACGTAGCATCTCACTCACTGGAGGCTGCGCGGCGCGGTTAGGGTGTGGGGGACACGTTACTTTCTCTGAGCTGCATCATTGATAAGGCATTATTTGGTCTGATTTTGCAGTTGGTGTGATGAGAATATAAAGTCATGCCAATGAGAGGTTGTTGTGGATACTTAGGACTTTGGGAGTAACTTGTAACTAAGGATGCTCTGAAAATGGTTCAGAATCTAGCACGGGCCAGCCTGAAAGCGCATTTACAATCACAGAATGGACACTATGGGGTGGGACAAGGCTCTATGTACAGACACACAAAAAAATGTCAAGAAGCTTTAAAAAATGCAGAAGTGATGGTGACTGTCTTTAAAAATATGACTCAAAAGTTGTCTAAATGGCTAACGTTCATGCAAACCACATATTTACAATAAATAAACGCTCTGCTCAGAGCCTGTATGTGGACTGAGTACAGCTAGTGATTGCTGGAGTCTGACACATTCTCCTGGGGGGTGCTCATCCCTGATGCCCAGAATCCAGGGACCTTGGCTTCATCCCTCTTCTCACCGGAGTGTCTTTAGAGATAGCTGTGAAAACATGGGGAGGTGTTAGTGGGTAGGATTGGAAGACAAGGTGGCGGCATGAACTCTGCAGCTTTTCCTATCTCTTGCAAAGTCAGTAAGGTTGGAGAGAAGGTTCCATCATATGCAATGAGCTGATTTTTACCCAGGGGACTGTGGGTGGAAAAAAGAGATAAAGTGAGATAAGAAACAGATGGTATTTTTTTGGGGGGGGTCCAGTCATGGGGCCTGAACTTTGGGCCTGGGCGCTGTCCCTCAGCTCTTCAGCTCAAGGCTAGCTACTCTACCACTTGAGCCACAGCGCCACTTCCGGCTTTTTTCTTTTTTGATTATGTGGTGCTGGGGAATAGAACCCAGGGCCTCATATATGCAAGACAAGCTACCGCTGAGCCGCCTTCCCAGCCCTGTTATTTTTTTTTTATTATGGTTTTTCCATGTATGATCACAAGGAATCTTGATTCTACTCACACTCTTTACAGCTGTCATTCCTTAAAGCAATTTCAACAAAACTTTCATTGGTCTATTTTCATATATGAGTGTAAAGTACTTTGTCAAATTTTATACTCTCCATTCACTATCCCTTCTAGGAGCCCATTTATGTCCCCAGGGACAGGACTTTATTTTTTTTTACATTTCTGTCTTTCCTTTTGAGTGTGTGTGTGTGAGTGTGTGTGTGTGTGAGTATGTGTGTGTACACATGTCAATACTAAGGCCTGAGCTCAGAATTTAGGCGCTGTCCCTTGGCTTTTCCTCTAAAGGCTGGAAGTGAACCATTTGAGCCTTTACTTCCAGTTTTTTTTTTTTGTTGTTGTTGTTCGTTTGTTTCTGAATTGGAGATAAGAGTTTCCTGGACAGCTGGATACCAGTGCCTCACATCTATAATTCTAGCTACTCAGGAATTTGAGATCTGATGATTGAAGTTCAAAGTCAAACTGGGAAGGGAAGACTGTGATACTCTTATCTCCAGTTAATCACCAGAAAGTTGGAAGTGGGGAAAAAAAAAGTTGGAAGTGGAGCTGGCTCAAGTTGTCTTGAGCAGAAAAATTCAGGGAGAGCACCCAGGCTTGAATGTCCAGGCCCTGCGTTGAAGCCCCAGAACAGGCACCAAAAAAAATAAAACCTCTCAAAACAACATCCTCCCCACAAAAAAAAAAAAGAAAACAACAAAAAAAAACCCACAACCCGCACACAAAAAAGAGCTTCATGGATTTCCCTGCTTGGGCTGACCTTGAACCATGATCCTCAGATCTCAACCTCCTGAACAGATATGATTACAGATTACAGATATGAGCCACCAGCATTCTGATGGTTCAGTTTTTCAAAAATTTATATTGTTGAAAGGGAATTCACTGTAGTATTTGGCATGTCAGTTAATTGAGTTGATTGAGCTTCTTGGATGTTTATATTCATGCTTCTCATTAATTATTTGGAAAAATTTGCAGCTACTATTTCTTTATATATCTTTCTACTCCTTTCCTCACCTCATGGCAATTCCATAAGAAATAGGAATTTCTGTTTTTGTTTGTTTGTTTCTGTCTCTACTCATACTTCCATCTCATTGATACATCATTTTCTTGGCTTTTTTTTGTCTCCATCTCCTGGAACTCAAAAAATTAAATCCCTCTACAACAAATCTTCAAAGAAACAACCGCCCAATAAATAAGTGGGCTAAAGACTTAAAGAGAAACTTCTCTGAAGAAAAGAAGGATGGCCAATAGACACATGAAGAAATGCTCAACCTCTCTAGCCATAAAAGAAATGCAAATCAAAACAACATTGAGATACCACCTCACCCCAGTTAGAATGGCTATAATCAAGAACTCTAATAACAACAGATGCTGGAGGGGATGTGGTCAGAAGGGAACCTTACTGCATTGTTGGTGGGAGTGTAAACTTGTTCAACCACTTTGGAAAGTAGTATGGAGATTTCTCAAAAGACTCCACATAGAGCTCTCTGAACATCTTTAAGACAGTTGTTAGAAAGCCTTTGTTATTAGTTTCCATCTTTTTCAGAGATAATTTTTGGTGATGTTTTTTTCTTTGAATGGGCTATACCTTTCCATTTCCTTGTATGATTTGTGATTTTTTCCGTTGAAAACTCTATATTTGAATCAAATAACTCAATAACCCTGAAAAATGAGATTCTCCTCTTTCCCAGGGGTTTCCTGGGGACTTTTTGATGATCATTTTTATTTTATTCTTTGATTTCAATGGATTGTCTCTCAGCTAAGAATCAGCCTGTCAACCTGAGATCTCAGGTGTTTCCTGAGCCTGTTTGTGCCTTTCCCTGGGTCTACATAACTATCTAATTTCCATCATATATGAAGTTACCTTCTAATGCCCTACTCTTTAATGTTTGACTTCTAAAAAAAAAGAAATAGAAAAGAAAAATAAAGATAAAAAATTCTTTAGACATCCCATCAGCCAACAAGAGAGGGGCTTGCCACCACCAGGCCCTCTACTTTTTATCTGCATCTCTAATTAGACGTAGCCAAGGGCTATCAGATCTCCAATATTTCCAGTGCAGATTTTTTTCTGTTGCTTTTTATTTTTTTTCATGCCAGTAATGAGGTTATAAACTCTCCTGCTCTTGCTTGGCTTTTTCACTCAAGGATGGCACCCTACCACCTGAGCCACCTCTTTATTTCTGGCTTTTTGCAGCTTAATTGGAGTTGTGTCTCATAGGCTTTGCTGCTTGTGTTTGCATCAAATCATGGTCCTTAGATCTCAGCTTCCAGAGTAGCTAGGATTACAGGTGTAAGCCACCAGCACCAGCTTTGGGGTTTTTTTTGTTTGTTTAGTTGTGTTTTATTCCAATTTAGCTTCTGCAAGTTTTGTATACATTCTACTCCAGAATACATGCAGAGTAGCCTATCAAGATGCTAGGGATACAGAAGTGGGAGCTGCTGAAGTTAAGAAAACAAATTATAATTTCTTTTAAGGTTCTGCTGGACAGCTCAAGCCTTTAGTAGAGCCCAGAAACCCAAGATTGTTCTTTCAAATAGATTTTGCTGGCACAATTATTGTTTAGGTAGGGAGATTCCTGCTGCTGCTTCTCTTCCATCCTCCAAGAATAATTTCTGTTAACAATTTTGAATATGTCTTCTTTTTCCTTTTGTACATACACTTTGACTACACTTCTATACCCAGTGCTGAACCTACGAATATCTGAGAAAGTTTAGTGCAACTCTTAGATGCCTGTAGTTAGAAAATTGGGTGTTTATCTGTTAGAGAAAGAACTCCTTATTACAAGACCATCCTAGCATTCAGGAATCTAACCCCTCCCCTCACAGATCACTTTCTTTGATGTTCTAAAGAACCGGGAATGGCCCAGAACTCTGTTTCACAACTCTGAAACAAGAGGCAAGTCAGGATAGGACTGAAAAGAAATGAAAATGTAAGGTTGATTCTTTTCTGATAAGGAAGAAATATGTTCTCCTTATAGAGGCAAGTTCACCTTTCCTTAGCCACACTGTGGCACACAGGGGAAGGCAGATGTTTCTGGTGTTTATTCCCACAGACTGGTCCTGTTGGAAGGCTCAGGGCTTTATTCTCTTCTTTGCCTCTCTCCCTGTCAGCCACAGATCCACCACTCTTCCACTCTCTCAGCAACTGAGACCCCAGCTAGAGTTCCCTTTGCATAACAGGCAAAGGGTGGGTGTGAGACAACCCCATTTTCGTTTATTCTTCTGGTTTTCTTTTAATTTGCACATATTAGTTGTACAGAGAGGTTCCACTATGGTATTCTTATGCTATACCCCATCAAAGTCACCCTCTCCCTTTCCTTTAATAGTCCCTCTCCATATTAAAACAATATCATTATGTTTCAGTGGTCTATTTTCATGTGTGTGCATAAGGTACTTCACCTATATCCTCCCATATCCCCGCTTTCCATACCCTCTGTCTTCTTCTGGAATCCACCTCAAACAGAAGGCTTTATCACATGCAATGTGAGAAGTCACTTCTGCCCAGTTTAGGAAACATATTTGCTGTCTCAGGTGCAAGGACATTTCTTCAGACTCATCCCACGAGCACTTTCCTTCCCAGCTTTGCCAATTTCCTATAGCCACCACAGGATTCAAACTGATTCAATCTGGCCAAAATTACATATAGTATTGATGGAGGAAAGAGCAAGAAGGGTGCAAAAAGAAACCACATGAGAGGATACTGAATTAGGTCACTTGAATGTCACACGAATTTTCTCTCAGGTTGTTCTGACCATCATAATCAGAGAAGGTCCCGGATGATACGGATGATTATGACAGAATTAGTTTAAAAGGCTCTGCATGTGGTGATAATTCCAGGGAAACACTCCTTCTGCTATGGATTTTGAAACTGTAGGTGCTTCATTCTGGCCTGAGATGCTGGTACACCAAATGGAAGCTAAAGAGAAATGTTAAGCTGTTAAGTACAAAGCTCTAAATGTTCCTTTGCTTCCTGTGGAGAACTCCCAGCTTTATGTTCAGAGACTTGAGAGACATGTTACCTGAGAATTTCTGCCTTTGATGTCATCAGGGCTCTGCCCAGCTGCCTCCGCCTGGAGCCAGGGACCAGGTGTGCGGCCTGAGAGAAACAAAACACAATCTCAACATCTATTGGCTCAGGAGCAGCCTGCTGTGTGCACCACTCTGCCCAGAAAACATCAGCAAAAGAACCCAACAATGTGAGCACATCAACCTGACAGTCACCTTCGGGCTTCTGGCCCTAGACCATGCATTTCTACTGGATTTGTATGTCACAGGCAATAGACACAGAAGAGTCACATCCAATCTACTATGAGAACACAGCATTAGGCATGAATGCACATTAGAGCTGACTGACACATCCCTGACTCTGGTCACACGCATCTGACGGTCACCCACCATGAGCAAAACAAAAGATTCGTCTTTGTTGACATGACTGGACTTCCTCCCATCAGGGATCCAATCTTCTCTCTAAGATACATTTGTGCTTCTGTGTTGCACAAGTTACGTGTGAGTATATCCTCACAGTTAAGAATTCAAAGAATAAAGAAGATGAAAGCAAATATCCAGAATACTGCTTCTCTGTAGTCCTTCTCCCTAATCTCCGTTTTCCTGCCCTGGGATCACGACAACTAAAAGTCCAGGGTTAATTTCTCCAGAACATTGACTTTTTACATAGATCTGAAGCAGTGGGATGCTGCAAGACAGTTTAGAAAGAAATGTGGTCAATAGTATCAAATCCAGAGTAGCCAAGAAAAACTTGGAGCAGAGTCCTACCCTCTGCCCAACACCGAAGCAGGAACAAATACTCTCCCACTGGCAATATGCTTTCTTTCTATGCGTTTTGCACTCTCAAGACATCAAATGCTTTAAAAATTATATTTATTTATATTTAAATAGTTGCCAAAGGGGTTTCAGTGAAGCATGCCAGTTAATGTATACAATGCATTGTATACATTAGTGTCACCTCTCCCACTATTCTCTCCCAGTCCACTCATCCTCTCAAGTTACCGAATTCTTCATTAAATTGTTTTTAATGACATGACACTCTATGTCATTAATTACTGCAGTGTCCGGTGGAGAAGTTCCACTGTTCATGGAAATTAGGATGGATTGTTCTACTTTAAATGAAAAGAGATTAGAATAATGGCATACCACTTCACACTCATTAGATGGCTACTATAAAATTAAACTAAGTTTTAAAAAACAAAATAGCAAGTATTGATTTGGTATGGGGAAACTGTAACCTTTGTGCAAAATATTAGAATTACTATGTAAAACAATATTGTGGTTCCTCAAACAGTTAAAAATATAATTAAAAATCAAAAATAGAATTACCACATGACTGTCTATATCTGTATCGATGTATCCAAAAGAATTACAAGCAGGGTCTGTGCCCTCATGTTCATAACAGCGTTTTTCTAAATTGCTAAAATGTAGTAACAACTCAGATGTCCAGAAACACATGAATGGATAAAGAATGAGATACATACAATGAATCTTACTCAGCTCAAAAGGAAAGGCATTTGTGTATGTGTGTGTGGGGGGAGGGTTTGCTGGGACTTGAACCCAGGACCTTTTGCTCTTGCTTGCCTTTTTCTTTCAAGGCTGTCACTCTACCACTTGAGCCACACATCCACTTGTAGCTTTTCACTGGTTAATTGGCAATAAGTGTCTCATGCGTTTTTTCTGCCTGGGCTGGCTTTGAACTGAGATCCATAGATCTATCTTCCTAGCTCTCTAAGATTACAGCCATGAGCCATCTGTGCCTGGCTCAAAAAGGGAAGAAATTCTGACATTAGCTATGACATGCATGAACCTTGAGGATATTATGCTAAATGAAACAATCCAGCCACAAAAAGAAAATAGTATAAGAAGTAGAGTATTCAGAATCATAGAGACTGGAAATAGAATGCTGTTTGTCTTGGTGGCTCACATCTGTAACCCTAGCTAGTCAGTAAGCTAATCAGGAGAATTTCAGTTAGAGGGCCTGGGCGCTGTCCCTCAGCTCTTCAGCTCAAGGCTAGTGCTCTACCTCTTGAACCACAGCACCACTTCTGGCTTTTTTTAATGTGGTGCTGAGGAATCGAACCCAGGGCCTCAGGCATGCAAGGCAAGTGCTCTACCACTGAGCCACCTTCCCAGCCCCACAAAATGTTTTTGAGACTGTGTCTCAATGGATAAATGCTGGTGTGTGACTGTCATCCTAGCTACTGCAGAAAGCACAAACAAGCCAGCGTGGATATAAAGCAAGACTTTATTTAAAAAATAATCAGAGCAAAAAAAGGGCTGGAGGCATGGCTCAAGTGTCTGTCTAGCAAATCCAAAGTTTTGCATCCAAACACCAGTACCACTAAAAAGGAATACAAAAACAGTAAGAACGATGGTTGCCAAGAAATAGGGGAGAGAAAAACATGATGTTATTATTTAATAGTTATATCATTTAAGTTTTACAAAATCACAAGCATTCTAGAGTTTGTCTAGACAGCAATGCAACTGTACTTCATGGCATTGTACAATAAAAATAATTGTGATGATAAATTAAGTATTTTTGTTTAGAAAAAGTAGCCATGGAAAAATAGCCATGATTGACAGGAGCTTTGACTATGATGATGGGCTGGCTGGGAATGTGGATTATTATAATGACATGGTTAGGTGTCTGTCTCTCTTTCCATCTCTCACTATAATATGACACTCAAGGCCATGTGAGGTACTCACAAATTTCAATCTCTCCATGGGGGCAAGTGTTTGATATCATGATGATTTCACTCTTTCTATTGTCATGTTCAGAAATACTTGGGACCTATGCATTTCTCCCCAAAGATTTCCTTCCATGTGGCTCCTTGTCACTTTTTTTTATTGTGGTAAACACACACAACATAAAACTGAGCACTAGTGACATTTACCACATTCACAGTGTATCACCATCACTACTATCTAAGTTCAAAACATCTTCATCACCTTAAAATAAAACTCCATCCCCCTCAGCAGTTACTCCCTATTTTCCATGGCAATCACTAAGCCCTGTTCCTGTAGAAGACTCATCTGTTTTACATAAATGAAATCACACAGTATGCCCTTTTACATTATTGAGCCACATCTAACTGTATGGTGCCAGTATTGGGGCTTGAATTTAGGTCCTGTGCTATCCTTTAGCTTTTTAATTTAAGGCTGGTGCTCTACCACTGGAGCTACACTTCACAAAGCCACTTCTGCATTTTCTGATTAATTGGACATCAGACTTTACTGTCTGTACTGGCTTCAAATAATGATCTTCGGATCTCAGCCTCCTAAGTAGCCAGCATTATGGGTGTGAGCCACCAGCCCCTGGCTTCATAAAACATTTAAAAAAATCCATTTATCCGTTGTTTCCATCCATTGGCTGTTGTGAATTTTACTGCAATGAATATCTGAACAGTAATTTAAAGTTCCTTTCCTGGCTCTATACCTGATGGATCAAACGGTAGTTTTGATCTGCAATTTCCCTCCAACGGCCATGTATTGAAGGATTGGTTTCCAGCCTATGGTGATAATTGGAGGTAGAACCTTTAAGAGATGAAACCCTTGGGAGACTTTGGGTCATTGGATATGCTCTCAAAGGAGATGGGGAGACTCATCTATTCCTTTCTCTCTTTGGCTCCAGCTGGTATGAGAGGAGAGGCTTTGCTCTACTGTGCACTCACTTCCACACTCTATTGCATCTTCTTAGGCCCAAAGCAGTGGGACCAATAAAGCATGGACTGAAACCACCAAAGTGTGAACCAAAATGAGTTGATTACCTCTTAAGATGATTCAAAGATTTAAGTTGATGGGGAAGTGATTCTGAAGGAAGTTTTGGGGCAGAGGAAAAGGAAAAGGAGGAGGAGGAGGAGGAGAAGGACGAGGAGGAGACATAATTCTTGAAACAGCAAACTTCCCTTCCTCTCTGTTTCTGTTTTTGGTGGCCTTTCTACTTGAGCCACTTCTCTTAAGTTGATTAACTTGAGCATTCATTTGGCTGTGTGAGGTTGTGAGGTAGAGCTTTCCTTTTATTCTCAGTCACTGTGGACGGATTGAGGAAGTCCATTTGGGCTGACACCTAAGCTCTGTCATCCAGAAAAACCATGATCACCTAAGCATCCCTCTGATACACATGCATATTTCACAAAGGTGTCATTTATTGACACCTACCAACCTAATACCTAAAGTCTAAATAGCCTCAGCCCAGTCAGCACCCTGTACCTCTGAGCCACCATAGGAAACTTGAACTATCACAGCTGTCCTCGGCCTGGATGCCTTCCCAGCCATGTGGGAGTGTGATGTCTCGAAGCCTTTGGGATCCCAACTGCTGCTTCTACATCGATAATCACACATCACAACAGCTGATTTCTCACAAGTCTACAAGGAGGCACGTGGTGGGGTCTTGGTGAGGGACCATATTTCTCACATACTGCAGCCTCTGGTGTACCTGAGGCACCCTACAGGAAATTCCTATGCATTTGCTGGCCTGAGCAGGAATGCAATGCTAGGCATACACAGTATCTGTCCCTTCCCATGATTGGATGGTCTATTGAAATACTAACGTGTACAGGATTTCCAGGATCCTCTTCCTTTCCATTTGTCTTATTCCAGAACAGTGACATTTACACATGGTCCTAGTGTCAGGCTGATGCACTTTTGCCTTGAGCAGAGCAGGCAACAGCTGCCAGATTCCTTGGAAGCTGAGTCCTGCAGAAAGTACTTTACCAGGTCCGTTTGGAAGGACAGGCCTATTGATTCCTAGTCTTGGGCCAGCACTAGACACATCATTTTCCATTTGAGTGCACAGTGGGTGGGACTGGGAGCCCCACTTTGGTGATGCAGAGGGACCACATCCAAAGCTCACCCCATGTTGCTGATTCTGCCCCTTCTGCCCTATCAGATCAGTCCAGCACTGTACAAGTGGCTCATAGCAAGTACTGGGCAGCATCACTGTGTGAAGCACCCAAACCTTCATGTGTCTTTGGCCTTCTTTCTGTTTTTGCCTCCAGAGGAAGACTGGCCAGACTCCTCCTTTTTTTCTGCAGGTTAGATAGGTAAGTCAAGTTAAGGCCTGTCTTGGAGCCTGAACACTCAATTAAAATCAGGAGGAGTCTCTCTCTGGGCTGTGAGTCTCAGTCATGGCTGTTCAATGGAATCACTTGGCAGCTTTCAGAAATACTGACATCGGGGTCCCACCCTGGATATTCTGATTAGATGCAGCCTGGCCTTCTGGACATGTTTTAGGTCATTCTAAAGTGGACTTAAGGTTGAGAACCTCTGGCCTAAGGGTATTTTTCAATTTAATGAGTTACCAGAATTAAGGAAGTTTCCTGGTACAGGTGGGAGGGCTGGGGAATTCTGTGTGTGGGAAAGAGGGATCCAGTTTTTTTTTTTCTGATTATTCATTCAAAGTGCCTATATCTGATTTCCCTGTTTTGGGGTGTGTTTAGTCCCTCAGTAAAAAGCCCCAGTAAAAAGTGGCACATTTAGTCATCCAAATCTGATATCAAATAGCCTTGGAGTTCTACCAAAATAAAACAAAAAACAACCCTCCAAATAAATTCTTAGTTAGCAAGACAAATAAATGATCTGGGATTTCTAGCGGTTTGCACAGTACTGCATCCTCACAGTAGGACAGAACAATCATATTACCCTTTACGCTGGAGTGGGGAACATCCAGCCTTCTGGCCTTATGAGGCCCAAGAAATGAGGGGACAGTCATCTGCTTCTTGTCCGCTGCCCTCAGTCCTCTACCTGTACTGATAATCTTGAATGGCCCAGGAATAATGTTATAAATGTCCAAAGGGCCATAGGGAGGAAAACGATTTTCCACCCCTGTTATTCAGTCTGTATGTCTGAAGAGTCAGGAAAAGCCAGGAGCCTTGTCGAGGTGGTACTTACTTCTAGTGAGCTTGCTGGGGTAAATCTTCTGGCATGGTTTGTACTCATCTGGAGGGGGAAAGTCTTCCACAGAATGGAACGTGAATTTAGACTCGAAGTCATCTGTACATGTGGGAAATGGCAAAGTGTACTCAGGTTACTGTTGCTACCCAAGTGTGATCAGCAGGTTATGCTGACTGAAGACATTGTTTTCTGTTTGCCTGCTCTGTGTAAAGGTTTTAATGACAGGGCTATTCCCCCTAATACATCCATTTACCCTTCCAGTTTTCTCAGAATGTATCGTCATTCCCTAGAACCCACTCGAACTCACACCAACCACCATCTTCAAAGGCTGCTGTCCTTTTAGGGACAGAAGTGGTACAGTGCTAGTCAGGCAAAGGTCCAGAGTCAGGGGGAGGGAGCCAGCAGCCTCAGATGCCTGCTGAGCTCCCTCAGGTAGGAGGGCCTTAGTGGGGAGGGAGAGGTGGCCAAAAGGAGTTCTCACCTTGGCTGGTGGGGAGGAACACAGCCTGTGTCCAGTGTGGGACTTGGACTCCCCAAAGTGAAGGGGTTCTGCCATGAGCTCCTGGTGGAGGAGGGGAGAAGCCACGTGGCCATTTCCTGGGATAACTTCCTGCTTTGTCCTTTAGGCCTTGTGTCTCACAGCAGCTCAATAGCTCAGCACACAGACAGGATGTAGATGCTCTTTTTCTTTGTGTGTGTGTGTGTGTGTGTGTGTGTGTGTGTGTGTGTGTGTGATGCTGTTACTGGGTTGAACTAAGGGCCTAGGTGCTATCCCTTAGCTTTGTTTTTTCTCAAGGACATAGAACGGTGCTCTACCACTTGAGCCACAGCTCCATTTCTAGCTTTTTGGTGGTTGGTTAGAGATGAGTCTCACAATCTTTCCTGCCCCGGCTGGCTTTGAACCATGATCCTCAGATCTCAGCCTCCCCAGTAGCAAGGACTACTGGTGTCTCACCAGTGCTCAACTGGATGAAGAGGTTTTATGGTCATATCTCACCCTACATGGCTCTCCGTCCCATTTCCACATTTGCATTCTGACTGTAGCCATTTGTGGAGCCTCCCATTCATTCTTTCTTACCCAATTTACTCTTTTCTTTTAGGCTCATGGACTAATCTCTCCATGGAGACACATATGCAAACACATACACACATGACACATGGACACATATACAGACACACACAGTTTCCACACTGGTCAGGTCCCTTTGTGTTCCCTTCCTCTAATCTGAATCAGAAGGCTAAAGGTTGAATCCCAGAACTACCTAGGAGATATTGAGAGAAATGCTTTTTCATAGACCTGCAGGCAGTTCTGCAGTTGAGTATACTGAAAATTACACACCTTGACATGATGGTGTGGTGTGCTGGCCAACTCCCTAGAGGCCAGGAGAGCTCACTTAGCTCACTGGCAGACAGTCCAATAGAAACTGCGCACCCCACTTACCAATGATGTGCAGATTTCCATTCCGCAGCTGACCTCCAGGTTGCTGGCTTGCAGTCCAGGCTGGGGCCTGCTGGCTCTTGCTTGAAAGCTCTGTGGTGGGCGATCTTGCAGGGGGTGCTGGCGGTGGGTTTAGCTTCCCTCCACTGGCCCCTTCCAGACAAGATGATGGGACATTCAGAAACAGGATGGTGGATGCTATAACTTTATGGATTGTTAATTTGTTTAGACTTTAGGATGTAATATATATCAGTGAGCAAAAGAGCCCCTGATGGATGTAATTTGTTTGGGATTGCTTTGGGACAAATAACACAGCCTCTTAGTGCCTTAGCTTCCTCATCGGTAGAATGGGGATATTACTAGTACACCTAATTAGAGTTGTTGAGATGTAGTAAACTTTAGCTATCATGATGGATACCAGTGACACAGATAACTCTCATAATCAGATGGTACAATCCTAAAAAGGGGACACACTGAAGAGCCATAGGAATGGGAAGGGCCATATGTAGGTTAGGGCCTAGAGGGAGGCCAGAAAAAGAAGTAACAAGGACATATTTTTATGCTGGGTTTGATTCCCATTGGCTCTTTATTGCAAACCCATTTTCCCTGCCAGTCAGTGTAAACCTTCTTCATCTACCAAGGTCCAACTCAAATCTCCTTCCTCCACACTTCCCAGGTTTCTTGGGAAAGATGCTTCTCTCCTCTGTCCACGTTTTTGTTTTGTTTGTTTTCTGTCAGACTTCCTTTGTAATCCATAACCCACTGTCATGACACTTCAGTACAGCTACTCTACTGCTACTTCCTCAGTGACTGTGCCAACATCCTCTGCCACTTGCTATGATGGAACCCCCACTACTGTTAACTGGGCATGATGCACACAGTTATAACCTCATCCTCTTCTCCAAACCTGGGGTGAAGCAGAGCTACCTTTATTTTGTCATGAGCCAAGTCTCATATTCAAGGGCACAAAGAAAACAGATGAGCACTCTCTGGCCTAGCATTCTGTGTCAGGAGCAGGTGTACCTCCAGCTGCAGGGCTGGGTCCCATGGCCTGTGCTGCTAGAGCAACTGCTGTCCCCAGCATCCATCCATTCCCTCTCTCCTGTAGGGCTTCCCCCTTCCCCTTTCAAGTTTTCCTTTCCTAGGTGCCAGAATCCATTAAGGCTCTGCTTGCCCCTCTGAGCAGACTGAAGGAGCCAAGGTCTAAATGGATGCCACCTTTCCTTTGGATGAGCAGCTGGGTTTCATGGGAAGGAGAGGAAAGAAAATACATTGTGGCCCTGGCTACATTCAGGCCCTTATTTAATAGTCTCCCCAATCCTATGTGAATGAATGGTGGTGTTTCGGTTTCTCAAAAACACAGGCAAGAACACAATATTACAACAATTCTGCGGGTGTGGTGGGGAGGGTGTCTATTGTTGTTCCCATTTTGCAGATAAGAAGCCTCAGGGTGGCTAAATGTCAGGTTCATGCAGCTAGTACCGGCCAGCCCATGGCTTTCTGCATGATCTTGTACAAGTCTCCCAGACCTCTTCACCCTTGTTTTCCATCTCTAAAGAGCTCCAACAATAAAGTCCCATTGAAGAAACAAATTTCCTGTGTTCCACTAAGGCACTGAATAGCTCTGGTTTCAAACAAAATTCTAAGGCCTGACGCATCCAAAGGTCCTGCACAATGCAGCAGGCCCCACCAGCTGCCTTACCCGGGCCTCGGCCAAGCCTCTTCTTCTGCAGGAGCAGCTGAGACCCTGGAGGAACCGGAGGAGCAGACAGGCCCTGCACACCAGCCTTCTGAGGCTGGGCCTGGAAACTGGGAGATTTGGGGGGCAGGGGAGGAGGGGTTTCACAGCTGTTATTAGAACCTGGCAAAGGGGGTGTGGGCATAGGTGCCCTGGGGGAGCAGGAAGCATACAAGGGGAGTGTAGGTGGCAGTGGTGGCGGGGGTGGTGGGGCAGGAGGCTCCTGCACCTCTTGGGCTGGGCTGTCAGGTTCTGAATTGAGCCCAGGATATCCACAAGGTGGGAGAAGAGGGAGAGGGGGAGGGATGGGTGGGAGGGGCAAGGGGGCTAGCTGGGGCTTGGAAGCTTTGTCGCCCAGCACTGAGGCAGGGGGCAGCTGAGGTGGAGTTGGAGGAAGAGGAGGAGGAGGAGGAGGGGGAGGAGGGGGAGGAGGTGGTGGGGCACAGGCAAGAGGGGGTGCAGCTACTGGAGGATTGCCTTTGATTAGTGGGACAGGTGGAGAGATGAGGGAGGCTTTGATGGGGGGTGAAGGAGGTAAAGGTGGAGGTGGGGGCGGGGGAGGTGGGGGCGGGGTGGGAGGCGGTGGGGCAGGCACGCTGGGGCGAGGAGGGCCCATCCTGGTAGTGCCCTGCACCTCTGAGGCATTGCCTAGCCTGGGAGAGGCAGGGGGGTTAGGCGGGCCGCCGATGGCCTTGATGGGAAGCCTGGGAGAGGGCGCGCGGGAGCCAGGGGCTGGCCCGGTCTTGCCACCTGGAAGTGAAACACATTCTGGCTTAGTTCAGCAATAATGCAAGGAGACGCCTTGGTGTGAAGGTGGCACTCGTGACACTCAGGCCTGAAGCCAGCCAGTTGCATGGTAGATGGCTTCTTCTGCACGGTCCTCCTTACACAGCAGGGCCTGCTGCCCCTCCTCCCAGGACCCTCCCAGCACCCAAAGAACTCTTCCAAACACTCCATTTAAATGCAATACACTAAAAGCACTGAATACTCATCAAAGCACAAATGGCGGCAGTAGATCACACAGAAAAGGAGATTGGGTAGGTTCTCTCATTAGTAATCCGTTTCTCCATCTTGGATATTGAGCTAGTCTTGTGTCATTTGCTTGGGCCAAGAGGATGTCATAGGCATGAACACTACCTGGACTCCTGTTCCTACTGCAACTTCCAGTACGAAGCCTAAAAGTCTTGGTGTGTGTCTTCCTTCTCTCATGGAACCATGCCGCTGGAGATTGGGAGAGCCTAGAGTGCTAGGGTGACTCAGGGCAATTGTTCCAGCGGAGACACCAGAGATTGGAGAAATCTAAGACTAGACAAGCCCAACCTGCAGCTGTCTGCAGATGCTAGAGGGAGCTTAGTTGAGATCACCCTAGATTACCAGTGGACAGAATTATAGGCTACATGTTTAAAGCTCCCAATAGTTAGTGTTTTGTTACACAGCAATGCCTAGCTGATACAATGATGGAGAGCCTTTATGGCTCGTACATTGCCAGGGACTCCACAGGAATACCATCATAAACTTCTATTGCATTTGTACCTCTGTCTGTACACTATCACATCATTGCTAAGTAACACACAGAATGACAAGTTACTCTTCGTTGTTGTTGTTGGTCGTTGGGCTTGAAATCTGGGCTTGGGTGCTGTTCCTCAGCTCTTTAGCTCAAGGCATGCACTCTACCACATGAGCCACAGTGCCACTTCCGGTTTTCTGGTGCTTAATAGGAGATAAGAGTCTCATGGACTTTCCTGCCCCGGCAGGCTTTGAACAGCGATCCTCATATCTCAGCCTCCTGAGTAGCCAGCATTACAGGCTTGAGCCACGGGCACCTGGCTGACAAGTAACTCTTTAATGGGTAAACTTTGAACAGAATGATCACTTAAAAGGTTCTCAAGAGTAGTTACCTGTGGTGCTACATCCCTGTAACCCTTGCTACCCAGTAGACAGTCCTGACAAAAAGTTAATGAGACCTTCATCTCAACAAAAGAAGGTGGGTATGATGGTCCTCACCTATAATCCCAGCTATACGGGAGGTATTCACAGCTAAGAGGATTACAGTCTGAGTCTGGTGCCCAGAGAATAACTTGAGATCCTAGTTGAAAAATAACTGAAATCTAAAAGGGCTAAAATTGTGGCTCGAGTGGTAGAATGTCTGCCTAGCAAGCATGAGGTTCAGAGTTCAAATGTTGGTTCTGCCTCCCTTCTCCCCCAGAAGGAAGATTCCTCAAGAACAATGCTAGGTGTTGGGAAGGTTCTACTTTAGTGCTGTGCTGCTGTGACTGTGGATGAAGTAGGAGTCTCTCACTGTGTACATGGCTACACAGTTGCTTCTACACTTGTGAGGATTAAAAAAAAAAAGACTACAAGGTAGATGGTTTTGACTTTTTCCTCACCTGCTGCATCCCTCTGACCTGTTGGTCTTAACACAGGAAAGCCTCCAGCGAAGAGATCTCCCAGGGCTGGAGGGGTGCTTCCTCCCCGGGCATTTGTAGGATTTGTAGAGCCTCCTCCTTCTTTATTGGTTCCTTTAGAACCTTCAGAGTGGAGAAGCAAATAGATGAGATGCCTGTGCAGAGCTGTATGAGCCATTCTCCCTCCAGACCACGTGTAACATTACCCTTGGCAGCCTCCCATTGTCCCCGTCCAATGTCACTGTTCCACTCCGTATCTTCCTCATGCAAACTCTGCCATGGCACTCTGCCTAGCTCTTCCTGCTGCCTTCTCCCTTCCTACTGAACGGCTGGCCATGTGTGGCCAACCAACCTGAAACGTGACCAAAGGGACCTGACTAACTGTCATTGGGTGAGTGCCATTAGGGGAATTGGCAGCTGTTTGTAAATTAGAAAGCCCAAACATGGTAGATGTATAGTTAGTCTTATCCACTTGACATTGGGAAGACTAGATAAAGATTTCAGTCAATCATCCAGTTCTTATCCACAGAGCATTAATAAAAATCACAAACAGGGAGTACTGCCTACACTGACATCTGCTTCAGAATTTTCCTTCTTCTATTCCAGCGGTCAGGCCCTGAGCGCTTCTTGCTTCCCTGACTTTTTTTTTTTTTTTTCCGGTCGTGGGGCTTGAACTCTGGGCCTGGACACTGTCCCTCACCTCTTCAGCACAGGGCTAGTGCTCTACCACTTGAGCCACAGCACCATTTCTGGTTTTCTGAGTGGTTTATTGGAGATAAGAGTCTCATGAACTTTTCCTGCCTGGGCTGGCTTTGAACTGTGATCCCCAGATCTCAGCCTTCAGAGTAGCTAGTATTATATCTGTGAGCCACCAGTGCCTGGCTCTCTGACCTTTTTCTTGGTGGAACAGAATGTCCAAGAGCCTGGAAGTAACTAACTTAACCCTTCTGGATAGATGTGGTTACTAACTAAAAAAAATGAGAAGATATGCAGCATGAATAGGAATTCCAGGCAAGCAGGGCGCTAGTGGCTCTCATTTGTAATACTCAGGCAGCTAATATGTGAGGATCATGGTTCAAAGGCAGCCAAGGCAGACAAATTCAAGAGATTCTTATCATCAATTAACCAGCAAAATGTCAAATGTAGAGATGCAGTTCAAGTGGTAGAGCACCAGCCTTGAGCAAAAAAGCTGAGGGCAGTACCCAGGCCCTGAGTTCATGCCCCAGTACAGGTAAAAACAAAACAAAACAAAAGCAAACCATAACAAAACAAGACAGAAAAAATAAACAGTATTACAGGCAAACCTTTACAATCTGAGCTAATACTCAGCAAGAAATTAGGAAACAGTGCCCACTGGTGGAGGAAAGTGATCAGCTTATTCTGAGCATTTTGCTTACCTCTTTTTTTTTAAAAAAATTAAATTTTATTGTTTTGAGGTAGGATGTCACCTTGCTATCCTTACAATCCTACTATTTATAATCCTACTATTTCAGCCTCCCAAGTGCTGAGACTCTCAGATGTGTACAACCATGCTCAGCTTAGTCTTAATATGGACATCTATTATTTACTCATTGGAGTGATTAGGCAATGGATATTTCAATAAAATATATTCATCTGTTAGCTGAGCTAAAACAATTAGACCGTTAATCTAACCAGGAACTTTTATTATAATCTATGTTGAAAGTATTTCTTTAAAAACTGTGTCTATCTTTGGGTGTCAATATATATAATTACAGATATGAAATAAAATTATGTTTTTAGATCCTTAACAGAAAGAACAGTGCTGGAGGAATATTAATACCAAATTTCAAACTCTACTACAAAGCCATAGTAGTCAAAAAAGCTTGGTACTGGCACAAAAATAGACCTCAGGACCAATGGAATAGAATTGAAACCCCAGAAATGAACCCACAGACCTATAGCCACCTAATCTTCAATAAGGGAGCTAAAAAAATAGAATGGAAGAAAGACAGCCTCTTCAGTAAATGGTGCTGGCAAAATTGGTTAATCACTTGTAGTAAACTAAAGCAAGATCCTTATATATCACCCTGCAGAATCAACTCCAAATGGATCAAAGACCTCAGAGTCAAAGCAGACATCCTGAAAACATTACTGGACAGAACAGGAGAAACCCTGGGTCTCCTTGGTACAGGCTGAAATTTTCTTAATAGAGACCCAGAAACACAACAAATCAAAGAAAGGTTGGACAAAAGGGATTGCATGAAGCTAAAGAGCTTCTGCAGGGCAAAGGACATAGCTAGTAAGATCAATAGAAAGCCCACAGATTGGGAAAAGATCTTCACTAGCCAGACAATGGATAAGGGTCTCATATCTAAAATATACTTGCAATTCAAAAAAATCAAATCCCCCAACAACAAATCCTCAAAGAAACAACTGCCCAATAAATAAATGGGCTAAAGACTTAAAGAGAAACTTCTCTGAAGAGGAAAGAAGGATGGCCAATAGACACATGAAGGAATGCTCAACCTGTCTAGCCATAAAAGAAATGCAAATCAAAACAACATTGAGATTCCACCTCACCCCAGTTAGAATGGCTATAATTAAGAACTCTAATAACAACAGATGCCGGAGGGGATGTGGACAGAAGGGAACCCTACTTCATTGTTGGTGGGAGTGTAAACTTGTTCAACTACCTTGGAAAGTAGTATGATGTTTCCTCAATAGAGCTCCCTATGACCCAGCAATCCCACTTTTGGGCATTTACCCGAATGATCACAAACAAGACCACACTAAAGCTACCAGCACAGCTATGTTTATTGCAGCATATTTTACCGTAGCTAAGATATGAAACCAATCCAGATGTCTCTCAGTAGATGAATGGATGAAGAAAATGTGGTATATATACACAATGGAATTCTATGCCTCCATCAGAAAGAATGACATTGCCCCATTTGTTAGGAAATGGAAAAACTTGGAAAAAATTATATTAAGTGAAGTAAGCCAGGCCCAAAGAAACATAGGTCCCATGGTTTTCCTTATTTGCAATAACTAGTATATGTCTGAGACCAGCAGAAAAGGTCAGATAAGATGATGTTAAGCGAAATGAACCCCAAGATAAGGACACAAGTGGGTTTGTCTTTCTTGCTATTGTTTCTAACCTATTTATAAGGTACCACATGATTTTTTTTGTTGCTTTGTATGTCCTCCCCCATGGTATAACTCCTGTTTTCACTGTATTTGATGTTGGTATAATTTGGGGAGCGGAAAGGAAAAAAGCAAATTGTTTAAATAGGGATACAGGTGGGGCCATTGCAACAATGAGATGTACAAGATGCTATGTCAAAAAATGAACTTTACAATTTAGGCAAGGGGGGGTTGTAGTTGTAGAGATGGGAGGGAAGGGGTGGTAGGGGAAAAACAAGGGAGGAGACAACAATGCTTGATAAGAAATGTACTCATTACCTTACTCATGTGATTGTAACCCCTCTGTACAGTATTTTTACAATAAAAAACTTATTTAAAAATTATGTTTTTAGAACTTTGAGACTTACCATCATGTACAACATTGCTAAATATATAAAACACTTCAACACTATACATTACTAACTAGTTCAACATATATTTTTTAAACCTATAGTGGTAACCAAATTTAAAAAAAAACAGGACTTATTATCCCCCTTTTTTGACAGATGAGAAAACTGAGCCTGAAAAAAAGATCCCTAGGGGTGCATGTCAGTGGTAGACTATATGCGTAGTATAAAACCTTTAGTGCCAGGAACAAAAGAAAGAGAAGAGATTCTTCAATTTGATTGGTAGCAGAAATATAATCACTGCTCTTTCTTCCTTCCTCCCTTCCTTTCCTCCCTCCTCCCCCCTCTCCTCCCTTCCTTGTCTTCCTCCCTCCCTCCCTTCCTTTCTCCCTTCCTTCCTTCCTTCCTTTCCTTCTCTTTCCCTTCCTTCCATTCTTTGTGTCTTCCTCTCTCCCTCCCTCACTCTTTTCCTTTCTTTTCTTCCTTTCACCTCTCTCTCTTTCTCCCTCCCTCTCTCTTTTCTATCATGCACTGAAAGACAGAAGTCTGGCATGATGATTCCATAATATATAATTCTGAACACATTTTTTTCCTTGTGAAAATGAAATAAAACCTTTTTCCTTTCTTTACTTTTTAAAAATTTGGTGGTACTGGGAATTGAACGCAGTGGCTCAATCTTGCTAGGGAGGTGGCTCTAACACTTAAGCCACATCACAGCCCTTTTTTCTCCAGTTTGATTTTCATATAGGATCTTGTGATTTTGTTCAGGGCAGCCTCAACAGGCATCTATCCTGTTACCTTTACCTCCCAAGTAGCTGGGATTACAAGCATGAATCATCAAGCCCAGTATATGTGTGTGTGTGTGTGCGTGCATGCGCACGTGCGTGTGTGTGCACGTGCATACATATGTGTGTTTGGTGTGTTTGGTAGTCCTGGGACTTGAACTCAGGGCCTGGGGGCTGTCCCTGAACTTTTTTGCTCAAGGCTAGTGCTCTACTGCTTCAGATCATCTTCACTTCTAGCTTTTTGGTGGTTACTTGGAGGTAAGAGTCTCAGGAAATTTCCTGCCTTGGCTGGCTTTGAATCTTTAACATCAGATCTCAGCCTCCTAAGTAGCTCGGATTATAAGCATGAGCCATTGGTATCCAGCTCCAGCTTGCTTTTGAGAGCATTTTGCTAACTTTTTCCTGGGCTGATCTTGAATCACAATTCTGCCTCTCAAATAGCTGAGATTATAGATATTACCACCATACCTAGCCTCTGAGACCTTCATTTTCTACTACTGAGTTTGAGACTATGTTGATACAGGGTAACTGACCTTTAAATGTCATCCCACAGGGACACACAATATGGTATAGTCATATAAAGAAATTGTATGTAAAAGGACTGGAGTACTCATTCATGTTATAACATAGAAGGAGCTTAACAACATAACAAGTGGGAGAAGTTGGTCACAAAAAGCCAGGTGTGATATGATCCCATCCCCATGAAAGATCTAGAAATAGCAACTCCATAGAAACTAAAGTCGGTCAGTGATTGTGGGGGTCGGGACTGGGAGGAGTGTATATGGTTTCCTTTTGGGGGTAATGGAAATATTCTGGAACCAGATAGGAGGGATGGCTATAACAACAGTGCAAAACTATTAGATGCCACCTGAATGGGACATTTTAAAATGGCAAAGAGAGTGAGCTTTGTTTTATGTATTTGAAGGTAATACAAAGACATCCCACTATAGAGTTGTTATGTACTTGTTTGTACTTGGAAATCTTTGCTTTTGGAAAAGCTCTGATTTTCTCACCCACTTGAGGTAGCCTGGTCACAAATGCAGCCGGGGGTGTGTCTGGCTGTGCCTTACACACCTGTGCTGCCCTGGGTTCCTGACAGGTCTAGGTAAGCTGCGGACTCACTCTCTATTTGAGGGGCACTGCGGTCATTGATCTGTGTGACTTTTCGCAGCTGAGTTCCTTGCTGGATGTCAGCCAACAGTGCACTCCGACCTTTCAGTTCTGTCTTTCTCAGGCTGGAAGTGTCTGTGCTCACCTGTAAGGGAAGAAGAGGGATTTCACTTAGTGGCATACATATACCATTGGTAGATAAGCAAGACACCCTATCTGTTGGGAGCTTCTTGTGCCATAGTTCTGTCTTCCATGCTCTGTTCCTAAGGCCAGTCTTACAGGTGCAATCATCTTCAGGTCTCAGGGGAGACTGCCTTGGGCATTGTCCACACTGTAATTTGAGCTGATAAGTAGCAGAAGTTTCATGGGTTATCAGAACCAGGGATACCACACAAAAAAAGTGTATGGGAAGTTGGTAATAAGGGGAATGGAGGGAATTTCATTAGAAGACATAGGCAAGGGAATTCTCTGCAGTTAGGAGATTTATGTCACACGAACTTAGAGATGGTTAAGCACTTCTCGAAGCAAGAAATATTTGCGTCCCTATTGCTTAGACAATACCATATGTTTTGGGGCTTCAATTTAAGCATCAGCACCTGGAGGTCTTTTCTGACTCCAAATATAAATAAAGTCTGCTTGATTGCTTTCACTTAGGATACCATATTCCTTTCTATACCATATTTATCATGGAGTATAAATTTACATTTATGTTTTCATTGTGAAGATATCCATTGGAGGATAACAGTTTGATGTTCATAACAACAAAGGATTCCCTAGCAGGGAAAATATTTCTGTTTTGTTCACCAAGTTGATCAGGAACTGGCTTGAGATAGGCTCAAAAATAATCTATTAGGCAAATAAATGAGTAAGTGAATGAGTGAGAGAACTAAACATAGGAGGTATAAGACAGCATTTTTGCTCTCCAAGGTGTAAACATATGCCAGGGACCTAGGAAACACTGTAAAGAGTTAAGCCACCCCATGATGTAACACATGACCAAGGATCTACTATGTCCCACAGAGATGATGGAGAGATTAAAAAAAAATGGCCAAATCAGGCTGAGCAGGCTTCCAGGGAAACATGAAATTTTAGATTGTCCCTGATGTGTAACTGGGATTTACAAAACTGTTCAGTGGTTATTAGTCCCTGTTCAGAAAAGGCAAAAGTAGGGTTTCTGACTAGAAATTCCTCATCTCTGTAGTCTCAGAGACTAGAAATAAAGGTACCATAGTCTAGGCTAAACTATGCTGAGTCCACATTTTCACAGATTGGTGCTATAGCTCAGGTTACCCTGCATCAGCAGGCTTCAAGCCTGATTCTTGTTGCTTGGAAACATGTTTTCTGGTTTTTTTTTTTTGAACATTGAGAGGGGCTGATGGATGATGATCAATATAACAGCTGTGAGACAGAAACCCCAGAGGTCATTAATTGTGTATATTTAGATGTAGATAGAGATAAATGTACAGATACACACACATACACATATAGATAGAATGAATATCTAAGGTATATGCACAGCAGGGTCATTCCCATACATAGGTTTCTAAAATATTTAATATAAGCAATTAAAATCAGAAATCATTTTAAACTACAAAAGTTGAGATTTTAAAGTCTTATTTTACTCAAAAATAATTATGAGTAGAATAATAGAAATATTATGGTCCTAGGTAAGAAGGTATAAACTATGTATTTGACATTGAAAATCCAGTTATGCATTGTGGTCAGAAATATGGAAAAGAGGGTTATTTATAACTTTCTTCCTATGTGTAAGATAAACAGCAATGAACTGTAATGATATTCATGGCTCTATTCAGGCCACAGGGAAGGTGAGGGCTTGAATGGAGCATTCTTCTGTTTAAAAGAAGCAGCACCAGGAATAATAAGAAAACTCTGCTCCTCACTTCCCTGGAGAGAGAGGCCATCTTACTGTTTATTACTAAGATGTAATCTTCACTTCTGACCTTTTCTAGCCCAGTATTTCAGGAGAGCACTATGAAAAGCTTACATTGAAGTAATGATATTCATTTTAGTACCTACCGGGTATTCGCCTCCATAAGCCTCTGAGATTCTATACGACAGGTCTGTTAATAAATGTTTTCTACATCAGCAAATATTTATACTCTGCCTCAAATTCATCATTCCTTCTCTGACTTCAGACTTTGTGTTCTTTGTTCTTCTGCTAGAGGGCATACCATTGATATGGTGTCCTTCAACCCTCTCCTCTACCAAAACATAATGGATTTTGTATAAAAGGACATATTCATTTGCACACTGAAGATTATGTTATTCAAAGACAGTCATTTGTAGTTTATTTGCAATACTGATAAACAACTCAACCATAATTCTGCTTTTTAAAATGGCTTCCAAAACGCTAAGAATTCTTATTACCATGGTTACTGGGTACAGAAAGAGGAGAAGAGATTCTTAAATATTCACTTGGATGTTTTTATTCTACGCAAATCCTGATCACTAGGAACTTCATTGAACATATAATCAACAGAGGGAAAGCCACCATGAGACACTTTTCCCATGGAAAATACATGTTCTAAAAATTTTCAAAACACACAATAAGACACGAAGGTCATTTCTGATTCTTGTTAAAAGTGATATGTTATGTATGAAAGTCTACTGAGTTCCACACAAAGCTTTAGGTCATTCAGTTTGCCTACAGCAAGCTTCAAAAAATAGCTCAATATCTTAAAAAGGTGAAATAGTGGAAAAGGTATGCACATTATCTCATCTCTTTTGGAGTAAAGGCTGAAAAACTGAAGCGAGCTAATAAGATCAGGAATATCACAATCAAATGATAGTACTAACAGAGCCAAAAATTCATACAATGCCTTTCCTTCTATCCTGATAAAATATAAAAACTTCTGCATATTATTTGTCTTTCCACTAAGTGATTCAACCATATTTACAGTGTTTAGGAGAGGAAATGACAGTCAAATCTAGATTGAATGCCCTCTGCTATTTGTCACCTTGATACCATTATGCTATTCCTGTGTCAGTCTCATACTGATGTCTATAAAAAGTCTCTAGTGAGCCGGGAATAAGTGGCTCACATCTTATAACCCTAGCTACTCCAGGAAGCTGAGATCTGAGGAGCATGGTTCAAAGCCAGCTTGGGTAGGACAGTCTGTGAGACTTTTATTACCAACTAACTACCTAATAACTGGGAGTGGAGGTGTGGCTCAAAGTGGTAGAGTGCACCTTGAACAAAAAGGCTTAAGGATAGCATCTAGGCCCCTTCAAGTCTCATGAGGGACCAAAAAAAAAAAATAGCTAGCTAGTTCATCCTAGTTCTTTATGTCAATTACTATATCTAAACCCAATCATTATTTTGTACTCATGTGTCAGTCCTGGGGCTTGAAATCAGGCTCTAGATGCTGTCCCTGAGCTGTTTTTGCTCAAGATTAGTGGTCTACCACTTGAATCACAGCTCTACTTCCAGTTTTTGGGTTTTGTTTTTTGGTTGGTCGTGGGGTCCAAACTCTGGGCCTGGGCACTGTCCCTCAGCTCTTCAGCTCAAGGCTACAGTTCTACCACTTGAGCCACAGCACCACTTCTGGTTTTTTCTGCTTATGTGGTGCTGAGGAATTAAGCCCAGGGCCTGATGCATGCAAGGCAAGCACTCTACTACTGAGCCACCTTCCCAGGATTACTTCCAGTTTTTTGAGCGCTGAATTGGAGATAAAACTCTCCAGGGCTTTCCTACCTGGGTTGCCTTCAAACCACAATCTTCAGCTCTCATCTTTCTTAATAGCTAGGATTTTAGGCATGAGCCACAGGTCCCCTGATTAAATCAAATCATTTTTTAATAGTTTCAGCTGATTAGCCTTCATGAAGGCTGTTAAATATGAAACAGATACACACACAGACTGCCTAGCATATAAGCTAGGCTTACTCCAACCTCCTTAAATTTGGGGCAGACGGGCCTCAGCAGCTAGGGTACATGCAGTTAATTTTTTAGGTCTGAATTGCAAGGACATAGAGACTGGCATAATTCCTGCCTGCTGCTGTCCTTTATGTAGGAAATCACAGGGAACCTGGGATCCCAAAGAGAGACTGATGGAAATACTTTCAGAACAAAATCTCCAAACTCTCCATGGGATGTCTGACACAATGTTCCTCACACACCAAATGTGACTACGTCAAGCTGTTCAAGAAGGAGGCATATTGTGATCCCACAGTATTATACCAAAGCTCCATTCCCAAGAGCACTAAGCTTGCTTGCCTTTTTTTTCCCCTCCCTTATGGGGAAGTGAAGCCTATTTTACAAAAAGCTCATCCTTCGAGGTATCCCATGGTATAACTTTTAATATAAAGGGTAAGGGCACTACAATCAGTGCCAGAGGACTTAGGGCCAACGTCGGCTTCCCTGTTTTCACTGTTACTTTCCTCTCTGGACCCTTTTTTCCATCTGTGGTTAGGCAGACCACCATTACCTCTGGAATCCATTTCCTGCTTCCTTCCTCTTCCCTACATAGCAGCCAGAATGATTTTTATAAGGGATATTCTATTTATCATGTCACACTCCTCCATAAAACTATTTTTCAAATGCATTTTTGCTGTTTTTGTAAAGGTGATGTAAGAGGGGTTACATAGTTATACAGTCAGATAAAGAGTACATTTCTTCCTGAACAATGTCACCTCTCCCCTCGCTCTCTCCCAGTTTTTCCCTCCCATCCCCATCCACAAGTTGTATAGCTCATTTTCGACATAGTGTCTAGTGAGTACCACTGCTGCATTTGTTCACGCTTTGTCCCACCATTTCTGTGACCCCTTCATTCTCCCAAAGACAGCAAGAACAAACAAAACAAAAAGAAATCAAAAACAAAAACAGCAACAAAAAATCCCTTTTGTTTCATTTCCTGGAGTTCATTTTGATAAATATGATTTTATGTGATCAGATGCACATAGGTATTGTGCCTTTGTGTTCCTCTCGTAAGAGTATCCTCCTTTGGTCTCACAATGGTAAATGCCTAGAAACCCACTGTATTTTTTTTATACCACCCATACCCAGAGAAATATAAAACTCTGTTCAGTCTCCCTACTGCTCTCAGAATTCTAGCTCAACTCCTCTCTTGTTGTAAAAGGTCCAGACTTTCCATTCCCTACTGCAACTTTCTTCCAGACCTTGGCTTG